ATAGTATAGTTTATAGCTTTTCTGTGTACATGGAGAGAGTGGAACAATGGTGATAACGTCACCAGTGTGTTTCTCCCAGTGGAGAAAATATCTGTTCTATATCTATCTAAGGTTGAAGTAGCCAACAGTATCTAAGCTTAGCAAGAAGACTGGATACAGGGGGAAACAGCTAGCCTGGATCTATCCAAAGCTAACCAAATCCACCTACCAGTACCAACAAATGCCTGGTGAATGCCACTTTTCAGGCCCCTGGAGGGTTTATAGGTAATTCAAGGCGAACACATTCCCTTTCAATGTGTATTGTGTATCTCTGTAAAACAAATTATTTGTGTAAATAAAGAAACAAACAATTGTAATTTTACAGTTACTATTTGGTGGCCAGGGCTGGGAGATACAGCGTGTTAATTATTGAGCTTTAGAGGTGCTGATGGGCAGACTTTGTTACCTAACTGAATGTTTCAGACAAGCAAAGAAGCTTATTTCCAAAAATGTTTAGCTTTTTCTTCTAGTTTCAGCTAACAGCTCCACTTATTACAACATCAGTCTACTTTCCATTAAATCCAGTCTTGGTGGAGAAACAGGTATCCTCTTCTGTGATTGCTTGGTCTGATTGTTAAACTGAAATGCAAATATTCAAAGTCATGGTACAGCTTTGTTCGTGTTTGGCTGAGAAGAATATGTCTTATAGTTTCCTTATGTTTTAGGGTTGATGTTTTTACTTTAAGACCATGTGAGCTTGGGGCCATTTTATTACTTACTAATCCAACTTTTTTCAAATTTGTACTATGTTTATATGATTGATATGATGAGTCTTACAAATCGGTTTGAATCCTGCTGAGAAGATCTCGGGGAGCTATATTGATTTTCAAAGGGTGTTTTTCAACAGGGAATGTGAGGAAAATTGATAAACTCATTGAGAAACCAAAATGTATTTTCCAACTTCTTCACACACTGATTGCATTAGATGGTGGTTTTTCAGCTGTCTTTTTCTCCACAGTAAGCTCAACTATGGTGGAAAATAGGTTGTTAAAGTTTCCTGAGCTTCAAAACAACATTAACAAGAAGGGAAGGGTTGTTAAAAAGTGGTCCGGTGTAACATTATGAAAAGTAAGTCATGGAAAAGTCATGGAACCTGTCACTGAGGCCGGGTTGGGACGCCTGATAAGCATGAAGTGGGACGTTTTTGACAATAAGTATGGATGCTGAGCAAATATTTCTTGTATTAGCTAGTTTGAAAATCAAGCATATCAAAGTTGTCTAAGTTTACTTAATCCATATCGTATAAATTGCATAATAGACTACACTGTCTGGTTTGCCTGTGTGGTTACATGGTGGTATGCTTGTTGTTTGCCTGGAACATACCAACTTACCATAATGGCCCAAAGACATCCCTCAGAGTTCAGAGAGAGGCCAGACCCTGCTCTTAATGTCACTGCATTTCTTACAGGAAGGGAAGATATTGTGATAGGAACTTCAGATGATTCTGTTTACGTTTTGCAGATTGGAGAACTGAAGCAGTTTACCACTTCAGACGGACGCAAAGGGCAGAGGCTGGAAGTGAAGCTCTTTGATGACTCGGTCTCGTCCTTCCCTCTCGTGTGGTGTGTCATGCTCGTTCATTAATTTGGAAAATGAATAAAGATTTATAACTTGTGATACTTTTGTGCCATATTCCATCTCACTGGCCCCTTGGTTCCCCGCCGTGTATCTTTAAGTTACCGCAAATTTACTTTGGTGACATGAAGCTTTAGATCAACTTGCTGAACTTCATGTGTGTTTGATTTTCACTGTGCTCTCCTGTGTGTAACTCCCTGACCTCTGTTTCACTCACAGCTGGGACAGAGAGGCCATTCAGCTCGTGCAAACTTTGATACCCAAGGAGGCGGGTAGGTTAACAGCTGCTGCTCATTCTCAGCCACAAAATGAATCTTTATTTAACTGTTATTGCCGCCTGTCAGGTCCCATTAACGTACTGCACTGAAGAGAAGCATAAAAGTGGATATCTGAGATGTAACTGTGTATTTATGTTTAAGATAACTTACTGTTGTTTTTAACTTTCATTCTTCATTCAAAGTGCTCTTCATAGCTGATGCAAAGATTAGCTTTGACAGCTTTCGCAACGGCATGGTAGCAACTGTTAACTCGAAAACCATTATCACTGTCAATCCTGGTAAGATATCACAGCAGCATTTACAGAAACATTGGATTGAACATAAATATCTATTGTGCAGTTAATCCAAAATAAGGCTGAAGCCAACCCACCAGCGTTTGTGTGCAGTGTAAGAAAAAAACAATCATCCTGCTGTGCAAGTAGAATATTGTCAGTGAATCATAACTTGCTCTCAGACACCAGAGAGGCCAGCCTGCTGTTCAGCTACGCTAAAGAAGTATCTGAGTCCGGGATTCTGGACCAAGATGAGAAGCCAGAAGATGTGAGTGGTAGGTTATAGTGAAGAATTTCCTTCAATTCGATACTTACTTTATTTATATAGTTTATATAGAGTATAATCTATGGCTGAAAATAGTCCCCAACACACTATTTACTCCTGTTAAAGTAGTGTTAAAAACTACAGTACTCCGTCATTGGAAATTACCAACTCTTTAATTCAACTATATCTTTTTGAGTCATTTTTAATGATTTAAATCCTCAGTAGGACCATATGGGGCTGGGGGCTGAAAATCATTTGTTCATTATGAGAGCCATTTGACTTGTGGAAGTCTGTAAGTATTTATAGAGGGACTAACACTGTCATTTTGGTTTTTCACTGGACTTGCTGACAATAAAAAAGATATGTAGTATATTATGAGGTCACAAAGTGACCAGTGCAGCCTGCGTCGTTGCCTCTTTTCCAGAGGAAAAGACTGCAGGCATGAACGTGTGCTGCTGCTTTTGTCTCTGCAGTGGATTCTATCACTGACGTGTACACAGTGAGCCAGCTGAAGCAGAAGGCCCAGGAGAGTCCCGAGGCTTTCTTCGGCATCACATACAGCTTCATCTCCAAGCTCGACCTCGACTCTTCTGTTTCAAAGGTTATCAGGACACGGTGGTGAGTTCACACAAGTGCACAGAGGGGATTCATTCATGACAACTCAGATATTCTACATCAATCATTTGAATATGCTAAACAATATAAAGTAGTTCGGTAAACATTAGTTGCTCAGTGTGCTGTCTCTCCTGTCTCAGCTCCAGGTGTAAGTTTCAGGTGACTGAGGACACACACAGCTGTACCAACCAGCTGTGTCCAGGGCGGGATCAGGTGTTTTCAGGCACCACAGGCTTTGATCTGCTGGTGGACTTCACGGACCACACCGGCACCCTGCATACCTGCACCCTCAGGAGCCCAGTGGCAGAAAACATACTCGGCTGCACGGTTAGCACCACTTCACAGAAAAATGATTATTCTGCCTCAGTTCTGCATCTAGTCACACCTTCCTGTGTGGGGATTAAAGAACATAAGAAAGGAGAGATGAATACCGATTCATTTTTAAAACATTATGGAAACATTTCACCACTGTATTATGTTTCTAACTAGGCTGTTCTGGAGAGTGCTTAAATTCTGTGTGGGTCTGGAAAGTCTTCAGATTTTATATTTTGTGTTGTTGCAATTCCAACACATTAAGCACTTTGTTTTTTGCAGACAGAGGAATTTACCAGTTTGACTGATGACCAGAGGACTGCAATGAAGTGGAAATTTCTTTTGGAAAGATGTAAAATATATGTGAAGGTATCGCTTTTCATTCATACACCATGTGGGTTAGCAAGTAAAAGCAAATTCTATTTAAAACTTGTTATAATATGTTGTAGATACTCCCTTCCACTCTAAAGAGGACTGGGGCCAGGGGGATGGTCTTGGCCTGCTCACTGGCTGACCCAGGAGAGGTGAAACAGCACATGTCCGCCCTGCTGCAGCGGCTGTGATCACAACGATATTGCAGTTGGCTGCTTTACCTGCTGTGTGGTACTGTTCTGACTGATCTATTAACAAGGATAATAGTCATTTCTACATGTGGGTTTAGTGAATAGACAAATTTTTTGCATTATTATTATTACTATTTATTTAATTAACTTATTTATTGAAATATATATATATATATTAAAGAAAGTACTGTTGTGTTGCCTACTTTTAATAAATAATAGTTATGTCAGTATGTTATGTGTCATGTTATGTGTCATATATCTCAATATCCATATTAGAACATGCACCTTGATGATACATCAGTTTTGATGGACTGAATTCAATTTTATACCAATTATTTCACCCTAAATTAAAATATTAGTTTTGTTTTGTGTTTCTTTACTGGAGATTTTGCTAAGTACATTTACTAAAGTACTGTACTTTTTTTCACAACTTGTTACTGGTTACTTTGCAGATTCTTATTAATGATATATAATATAATCTAAAAATAAATGATGATGTATTATTATAAATTAAGATGAGATGAGACTTTTTTTGGTACTTCTATTGGTTACAGCAGCACAACAGACAATAAAAATAACACAAGTAGTCATACAAGTGTAGTTCACTTGTCCTGCTGTGATAAAATAAGTCAGTAGATGGAGGTAAAGTACTGGTTATCAAGGCGGAACCTTTGAATCGTCGTCGTATGTAGTCAAGGGAAACATTATGGGGATGTACTGATTTATGGTCAACACGAACAACTGAAGGTAACCAAAACTTTTCAGGTTTTTTCGGTAAAGTTGTCGAAATGATCATAAATAATGTTCTACAGTGAAACATAGTTGCAGTCACAATGCGTCAGCTTATGAAACAGAGACGTTCGCTCATTGTCTGAATCGTGTAGTCCTTACGCGTTGCTAGGCTGCTCTGCTAACGTTAGCATGCAGGCTACAAGTTGTATCTTTCATTTCCCCAGTATAACAATAAACCACGTACCTGTTGTTTAAACCGACTGATAACAGCAGTCAGAAAAGAGAGAAGCAGCTGACTTCTTCCTGTGTATCTTTGCAGTGTCATACATGCCTCAGTGCGAACAGTGACAGTCAGCAGTCAAGCATGAATGTGAACCAGGGGACGGTGGGCAGCGACCCGGTCATTCTGGCCACGGCTGGATACGACCACACTGTCCGCTTCTGGCAGGCCCACAGCGGGATCTGCACCAGGACTGTCCAGCACCAGGACTCCGTATCCTTACTGTGACTAACAAACAGTGTGCTCTGACTAAATGAAATCAGACTTTACACTGTGATATGATCATGGACAGCAGGCAGATCCCACAAACAGACATATTGTTTGTCCCAGCTGGAAACACACATTCAAGTATATGAATTAATAATGGAAAAGAGACTATATGACCGTATACAGTGTAAAGAGTTTTGTGTGTGTAGGAAAATCCCCCCCATGTCTCAGTAAAATCAACATGGATGCTGTCAAAGGAGCAGCTCCATGCTTTGTCTGTAGATGGCATCGTCACTACAGTGTGTCCCTCCTGCTCTGTAGGTATAACTGATTTGTTAAATATTATAGAAATATCCCAAACAAGCCAGTTCCTTAACATCTTCTTCCAGCAAGTAAATTCACTCGAGGTCACACCTGACAGGAGTATGATCGCAGCTGCAGGTTGGTTACGACCTTTTCTCCTCATTTCTTACATTAGTTCCATGCTTCACACACAGCTTGGATTGCATAATTAAATTGAGTAATTTGCACTCTTTGTTTTAGGTTATCAGCACATCCGCATGTACGACCTGAACTCCAACAACCCCAACCCGGTGATCAACTATGACGGCGTTAGCAAGAACATCACGTCCGTGGGCTTCCATGAAGATGGACGCTGGATGTACACGGGAGGAGAAGACTGCATGGCTCGCATATGGGACCTTAGGTAATGCAAAGGGAGCTCGCTAAGCTAAAAAACATTCACTCTGTGTACAACAACACTAACTTTGATTCCCCCCTCCGCCCCCCACGCATCCAGGTCGAGAAATCTGCAGTGTCAGAGGATATTCCAGGTCAATGCTCCAATCAACTGTGTATGCCTGCATCCCAACCAGGTTAGACACTGATTCATAAATTGGCACTGTTGTTTATTATCTAGGGAATGTGTTTGTTTTTAATGTTATAAGTCAATTTCAGTATGTGCTAACTATCCAAACAAGTCCGTAAACAGTCAGCGTTGTGTGTTTTTCAGGCGGAGCTGATTGTTGGAGACCAGAGTGGAGTGATTCACATCTGGGATCTGAAGACCGACCACAATGAGCAGCTGATTCCCGAGCCGGAGGTCTCAGTCAACTCAGTTCACATCGACCCTGATGCCAGTTACATGGCAGCGGTCAACAGCTCGGTCAGTCCGCCAAACAGTCTGAAAAGAGTGCTCCTTATAGGTACCTTGTTAAGTTATATTAAATGATTAAATTGGTCCCTTTGTCCTCATTTTAACAGGGAAACTGTTATGTGTGGAACCTTGCTGGAGGCATCGGAGATGAGGTGACTCAGCTCATTCCCAAGACTAAGATCCCTGCACACAAGCGCTACTCTCTCCGCTGCAAGTTTAGTCCTGATTCTACGTGAGTGCCCTTCTCCTCTACACACAGTACAAGCCTTTCTTATTAACTCTTGAATAACAAAACATGTTTTCGTGGCTAGAAAATGCGTGTTTTTTATTTTGCATTCTGTGATATATTAGCAATTGTTATGGCTTAACAAGGAAGTCAGTTTCCTGCTTTGATGTTGCTGATGATGATAGTGAGTGTTTTTGTGTTTGTCGTCATCTCCAGTCTGTTGGCCACCTGCTCAGCAGACCAGACCTGTAAGATCTGGAGGACGTCCAATTTCTCACTGATGACAGAGCTCAGTATCAAGAGCAACAACCCCGGAGAGACGTCTAGAGGCTGGATGTGGGACTGTGCTTTCTCTGGAGACTCCCAATATATTGTCACTGGTCAGTACATGAGCAAAAACAGGATCCCACAGTCAGAAAAGCCCTGCTGTTTTGGAGTTAATATATCAATCTATATATGTTTGTTGTACTGGAAATGTGTGGGAACATTTCTGAAATATTAGGTTATAAATTATGTATAATAATAAAGTCGCTGCTTGTATTTGCTGTGAGCCAAAATAACAGATTTTGCAAACTTAGTGTTGCTGTTTATCTTTATTTGCTACCCTTAAAGTTATTAATTGATGAAGATGCCTCTGAGCAAGATTTGGAACAGTTGTGAAAGTGTTTTTTTTTTTTTTCTTAAATACAACTGTATATTTAGTCCCAGAGAGTTTTTAAGAGAGAAGCAGGAAGCGGTCTGATAACTTCAGCGTAAACTGAACTCTTGTTTCCATCCATTAGCCTCCTCAGACAACCTGGCCCGTCTGTGGTGCGTGGAGACCGGGGAGATCAAGAGGGAGTACAGCGGCCACCAGAAGGCCGTGGTGTGTCTGGCCTTCAATGACAGCGTGCTGGGCTGAGGAGGAAGACAGTCTGTACAGTCTGTACAAGGACACAAAAGCAATGGACCCTTTGGAGGCTGTGCGGTTGACATTAATGGGAGTTATTTAAAATGTCCCCAGAAATGATCAGCTTGAGAAAGGGGAGGCTTGTGTTTGAACGTTATGATGAATCTCAGCTGTTTGTTCCAAGAGGTCTACAGTGCTCTTCCCCTGCCAGTAACTGTAAGTACTCAGCATGGCAGCAAGGCCACAACTCATAAAGCGAAAGTCCATTTAAAGGAATATCATACCATTTTGCACCAAATGTAATCAATCGTATGAGAACTTCTGTACCAACACTATAAAAATTGGTTGGATTAAAATACATGATATTCATAAGGTACCTAAAATATTTTTAACATCAAGCTGTGCAAAACAGGAGATCCCTTTTCAACTCTGTTTTTATAGTGCACCATATTTATTGTATCATAAGGACCACATTATTCATGTTAACTTGGATGTGCTGTGGAATTGATTTATTTCTCATGTGTGGTATATATAATACTTGATACTTTTAATTCAGAGTTAAGTTGTACTATTCTTAATGATCACGTGTTGTGAGGAGGTTGTACATAAAGTGATTCCACAGTAAAGTCGTCATTAATAGAAGTCCTTACAGTCTTTAGTTTTGTTATTCTCCCTCCTCTTTTCAGTCTAAGGAAGAAAAAATGGCCCAAAAATGCCCAACAGTCTTTTATTAGACAGATCAAAATACGCAACAGTAATGGTTACACATAATTACACTGCAGCAGTGGGTTACAGGAAATACAATTAGAAGCACGTACAAAAGAGGGCATCTTTCTTTTGTAATCTCTGAAGTGTGCCACCAGGGAGGGTATTACAGATGAAGAGGGTGACGATGGGGCTTTGGCGATAACCATGACAGCCTGTCTCCATCTCTTCTCTCTCGGAAGGATGGAAATGGACTGGGAGGGTGGGCTGCTTCACTGGTTTACTAGTGGCTGTATGGCACAAAGGAAACAGTCAAAGCTGACTTTTGTTTTTTTCATGTTTTTTTTTTTTTTTTTCCTTCTTGTTGAGGGAGCTAAAAAGAAAACTTTGTTTCCCTGATCTTTGGCTGGGAGGAGGCGGAGAGAATACACAGTCACTCTGGCAGGTAGTAGAAGCACACAGACACGCAGATGTTGCTTGGAAAGCAGATGTCGATGCAGAAATAGACCAGCCTCTGTTTGCCCGGGCCTGAAAACAACACAAAGGCATACAAAAAGATGACAAAATCCATAACAAGATACAGATATAGTGGTCACAACCTGACTGTGGTAACAGGCCATCATAGTGGAGACACGACAATCACCAAATCCCTATTACATAATGATCAATATTTACAATTAAGACATCATTTACAGTTTAAAAGCAGCCAGTATGATATTAAACGTGTTCTGTATGGGGGAAAGTCTGTCACCAGCACCACAGCCTGTTGAGAAAACGTTGAGTCATTTACTGCATCAGTGAAAGGTCATTGGTCGTCGTACATTAGGCTCAGGTTTCAGCCTGACACCTTGGTTCGATGGAGTTGCCAGCTGACTAAATTTAAAAACTCCCTTCATACAGTGTCTGTGGGCGCCGGCAGATGGATCCCGACCTCTTCTGGTCTGCATGCATACTTAACTACTATGTAAGCTAACGGCATCGTCAGTTGACACTTTTATCCAAAATGTCAGGATACAACTAAAGTGAAAACATACAGTATATATTGCCGTAATGTCTGTACCATCATTTTCCCTCTGAGTCAGTTAATCGGCAGAATCTGCAACTATTTTGATATTTTTTTTTAAATAAAAACACTATCTGGTTTCAGCTTCTCAGATGTGAGGATTTGCTGCTTTGTTTGTTATCAGTGATAGTTCACTGGAGATGAACTGGTTCATCTTAGGCTCTGAGCATTTTTCACTATTTCCTGAATCGTTAGAGTAACTGATAAATAATTGTTAGTTGCAGCCCGACTGGTTTTGACTTTGGGTAAAGGAAATTCTGCTACTCCTATGACATCATTTCAAAAATCAGTGGTCAAGCAAAACCACATCTGTTTTATTTGTTTGACCAGGACTTAAAGAATGAGGCTAGAATTATTCTATATTCTTCTTATTGTCAGGAAAATCCCATAAAAAGATAAAAACCAACAATGCAAGTGAACATCAGTCAAACAAGAGTAAATGGTGCATTTGTTGATTTGAGTCAAAAGCACAATCCCACTGAATCAAGAGCTCTATGACACAACATTTGTCCTCACCCTCGGCCCTCCTGGTCCAGTGGACGGACCTGTCCTGACACAGAGTCTGCAGAGGCTCCTCCAGCGTGGACGCATCCACCTGACTGGCCGCCAGCACCCCCAGGAACTCTGTCTGCCTCTGCGTCTCATTCCCAGACAGCTGGAACTGAATCTGCTGAGGACAGTATCACACAACATCTCAACAACAAGAAAATCCACAACAGAAGAAGAAGAAGAAGCAGAAGTTTTGTCCAATGAATGGAGACTCTGAAGCTGCAGTGTCATTTAATAAGTGTGAGAAATCATATTCAGCCAAACAGTGACAAAGTGAAATGATTAAATTGGGTGAATATGAAGACTGAAACCCAAGCTGCTATTAGCCTGATATCCTCGCTGATGAGGTCAACACGGCTGCGCATTTGCGCTCTTATTGGTCACAAAGGGCTGTGTGTAATTGCACCACTTACACTTTTGATTGGCTCAGATAGCGAACCACTTAAAGTGCTGTTATGCTCGAGTGGGTCACGTAACAACCAGTTTTCCAACCAAGAAGACCATTGTGCTGCAGAACAGAGGGACAAACCACAGATACTCTCCATCCATACGGAGCCTTTCCCTCCTATCATAGATTAAATGACCACCATCAACAGCTAGGTATGAATACTCAGGGGCTGTATGAGATACACGACACCGCGAGACAGGATCACAAAAAAACTCTGATTTTGATTGGTGGAAATGGGCTATTGTGCAAAAAAGAGGGGAAAAAGGCAGAAAAGGGGAAGATAAGGCAGAAAAACAGAACTCCATCTCAGTTTACCTGCTCATATCTGACCTCTATTTAAACCACAGCCATGGCCTTTCACCTGCTCATATTGTCAAATCACAATTAAGAATCAAGATAGACTACGGATGGCAATATTAGAGATCCAGGTATTTGCCCCCCCCGACTAACCAATGCACCAAGCTGTATTTTAATCCAACAGTCTTAAAAGCCCTCACACAGAGTGGCCATTGTGCCCACTCCAGTGCTCACTGCTGTAGCCTCCTGTAAGAAGATCCCGGGCACGCTGAGGGGGGCCGGGTAAGGATCAGATGTGCTGAGGAATTCAGCCGAGGAGGCGAGAGAGGAAGACTACACTCGCTCTTCGAAGGCTCTGTAACGCTTCACCCCCTGTCTTTGTACGGAGCGGCGAGGAAGCCATGCAAAACGTATGAAACCCAGCAGGTCCTGGCTCAGTGGGCGCGTTCGGTTCTGGGACACAGCTATGAGTCGCAGTCAGAAATGCCAATTCACACATTAGTGGGGGCGACTTTAGAAAACACCTGGCAGAGCTCAAAGGGCAACCACAACTTTCTTTTTCTTCCTTTTAGCCCTTTGGTGTGTTTTTCCACGTTGACCTTTGTAGTCTCACGTATCATGAACGCAACGAGGGAGGCCCCCGTTATATAAAACGATACGTTCAGTTCTCACGTGTAGAAATGTCGCCGCCTGTTACCTTGTGCGCCGACTCGTGGAGGAGGGAGTGCACGTTGTCGTAGTCTGACTTGTCCATCTTTTGCAGGAAGCATCTGTCCCGGTCCACAGGTTTGTAACATATCAAACCCTGCAACACAACAGCAGCACACGATCAGACATCTTTCCCATCACAAACCTCCATTTTTCTTACTCATCATTACCCATAAAACATACAATCTCATGCATATCACCCAGACGTACGTGTTTGATATCAAAGAGCACAGTGGACGTCTGGTTTGCTGGCGAGGTCACAGAAAAGGTCACCAGGTCGTTCTGTTGATCCACAACGGCTGACTGGTTGATCAGAACTCCAGTCTGCTCTGGAACTATGATTCGGACCATCTGCGAAGACTTAACAAAAGCAGCCTCAGGTCAACGCAAACAAGGAACGCGAAAGAAAGAAATACCTGATGGTGGGCGCAGGGGCCGGTCATGCATACCTGAGGGTGAGGCTGCCACAGCCCCAGGTGCCCCGTCAGGCCAAGGGCCACGATGACCAGGAGCAGGGAGGCCGAGAGGCTGACCCAGAATGCCTTGTGTGGGAAGCGGGACTGGGAGGACGCTGCAGAGCCCCCATCCTGAGGAGATGTTTCCACACACAAGGAGAAGATGTTTAAACAGTACTTGACATCTCAGTATGGGATGTAAACATCAGACTGAAGCAGAGTGGGAACTCAACACCAGTCTCCAGCTGGATTTATGTGAATTTTTACAAGTTGCTGAGATTTGTACGAAAGGCAACATCTGGAAGTCACATCCTATTCTGCGGCTGGATTTGCATGTAAGCAAAAACCAAGTTTCCTGCCTTGACCCCTTTGCCAGATAATGTGCATTCCTCTCCTCAGTCAGTGATATTAAATCGGCTTACCGTGCACTGTGCCTCCTCCAAACGGTTGTCTGAATGTTTCCAACACCGCACCATCCTGTGTCCCTTGACGGCTCCTCACTCGGTCTGCTCCCTTCTCGTAGCTATCGGCATGGAGCTGTGGTCATGACCAGCGCTGACTGACTGAGACTCAGTACACCTGGCCAGCTTCTCTTTGTCCCAGCAGACCTCCTCCCCCTCCTCCTCCTCCCCCTCCCCCCATTCCTCCTCCTCCTTTGGCCTCACCGATTCCATCCCAAAACAGTCACCCGCTTCACCCAAAACTCTGCATCTTGCCAAACTCAATTTCCAACTATTGTCTTCCTGCAATTTCCTTTTTCTTTTTGTCTTCCCTGCCTAATATGACTTAATATGGCTCTCTAACATCATCCATCTCTCCACTGCCCCCCGTTTCCCCTCACTCAGACATACACTTACACGAGGGGAATTGGCCACCCTACCCAGCCCAGACAATGGACAAAGGGGTGAGGCAGGCGCAGCTTGGAAAGCCTCTTTCATCAGGTGAGAGGTGATACGTGGTTCTGACTGTTGCGGCATCCAGCCGATGACAGCCCAAGGTGACTTTAAGCACAGGACTTAGAGGGAAGTTTGCCGTGTTCACTTTAAACGTAAATCCACAGAGAGCAGACTTTGATTTAGTGAAGATGGTTTGCGTTTTATTACAAATTTGAGCTTCGCTTTCAGTAAATCTGGGAGTCGAAGACAAGTCATAAAAAACAGACAGCAAAGAGAAGATTGGATTACCTTTAAAACATATAGTCTGTTAATAACATTTTCACTAATGACATGACAGAACAGTGTATCATCACCCCATGAACGTAACTGCAAGTGTTAACACTTTCTGCTGAGGTGTGCAAATACATGAAAAACAGAAAGTTCAAGGCAGATCAGTTCAGTGGCTATGATTTACTTTTGGAGAGAGCTGTAAACCTGAATACACACATATTACCAAACTGTTGACACACACTTTCTTTGCTCAGTTCCCTTACTTGAGTTTAACATGTAGTTGCTTAAGAGGAGATTGCATCACTTACACAGTTAGGGGACTTTAAAGTGCACTCACCTTCCTAAAAAAAAAAAAGGAACACACAGTCTACTCCTTGAGTCTCTTAAACACTCAAATTACATTGAAACAATACTGGAAATGATTGTTCTTACGTTATTAATAATAAAACATCAATATCATGTTAAATTAGCAGGTTTATAGTTTAATAATAGAGTCACTGTCTCCTCTGTCACGCAGCAGCTAGTTGCCTGGTTGTGACTGTCATAAAGATGATCTGAATCATATTAATATTAATGAAAAATATTCCCTTTTAGAAGAAAATGCAGCCTGGCATGTGACACCCAAAAGCCTCAGGTTTAATGGTGTTAGGCTATCACGTAGCTACACTGTTTCATCCCTGCAGAGCCGGGAGAAGGTCTGCGATGCTGTCCACGTAATAATCTGGCACCATCCCCTGCCTCTCCGCGCAGCTGCTCTTCTGATGGGCCTCGGCATCCGCCACAGTGCTGACCCCCGTGAGGGTGAGGAGGGTCTTCAGGCCACAGTTGGAGCCCAGCATGATGTCCGTGTCGAGGCGGTCGCCCACCATTAGGCAGCGGCCGGCGTCCACGCCGTACTGGGAGGCCACGCAGTCGAACATGAAGTGGTTGGGTTTGCCCACCGTCTGGGACTGACGCTGGGCTGCTGTCTCAACGGCCTGCAGCAGGCAGCCCGTACCTGGGGGGAGGAGAGGAAGGGACCTCTTACTTTACTACAACAGTTTTACTTCATGTACCTTTGTAGAGCAATCCACTTTGATTAAAATCTGAGTTTTTGTGGAGCTTCAAATTACTTGGTGAATTAGGTTGAGTGATCACTGCATCTGCATGGGTTAAGAAATCCACTTGTTGATACAAAAAGTAATTTGCTTTATGGTGCAGACTTCTATTTGTTTAAAATAGAGCTGCAACAATTAGTCGATTCATTGTTTTTAATGAAAAAAATATCCAAATTCTCTGATTTCAGCTTCTCAGTAAACATTTTCTGGTTTCTTTAGTCGTTTAGAGTCAACTGAATATCTCTGGGTGTGGCCAAACTAGGCATTTAAGGACAACATTTTTCACAATTGTCTGACATTGGATTTTATAGACCAAACATCTAGTCGATTAATCAATACTGAAAATACTTGCTGCAGCCCTAGTTTGATTCACCTCAATTATAAAAAACTCCTCCATTAAGCTCAACAACCCCTGAATACTGTGGTGAAACATAAGGTCAACAATTAAAGTTACAAATGAAACACAGAGCATTTTAACATTTCTGTCATTTGATGCATGTTGGGTTAAATCAGAGGAGCTTGTAGCTTCAAACATGGACATATTTTACACACCTACTAGAACACAGTTTAAAGTAAGTAGATTTTGTTTTTCTTTTGAGAAATAAGAAAACTGAAAGTTCTGCAACCACTATGCAGGTGTAGGTGTGTGTATGTGTGTGTGAGGGTGTATGATTATGTAATTAAAGTTATTATTTAAGTCAAAATGTGAAAATGGTCTATAATAAGCCTCAACACAAACCGTACAATTTGGGTTAGACAGGCTGTAAAGTGTAAACATGTGCTGCAGTGTGTTAATCTGCTGTAAACCACTAATGTGAGCACCCAGTGAGTATCACCCCCCCCCCGCGCCCCCTCCCTACCTGGGACGGCCTTGCCTCCCTCCAGGGGCAGCCTGGTGTCCCTGTTGGTTCCCACAAACAGACAGTCCCGCTGGGTCAGGTACTGCAAGGCTCGGTTCAGCTTCATGTAGCTGAAATGCTCATCGAAACCCACCACCACCGCCTTCACCTGGGGATCCAGAGGCACGTTGGCCCAGTCGGTCTGCTTCCCGAATATGAGGTCAGGTCCCACCCCGGTCTGCTGGATCCCCACCGCCTCCAGCTCCTGCCTCATCGCGTCGCTCCCTATCAGGTACACTTTGCCCTCCAGCTTGCACACGGTCTTCAGGTACATGGCGGAGCAGTACGCGGTGCCGAACACCTCCTCTTCTTTCACGTTGAAGCCCAGCGTTGACATTTTGTCGGCGTACATCTTCCTCGTCTTGCTGCTGTTGTTGGTGACGAAGAAGACCTTCTTGCCGTTTTCCTTGAGCAGGTTTATGACTTGAGCGGCGCCGGGGATGGCCTGGTCCCCCCGCCAGATGACCCCGTCGCAGTCAAACAGGATGCTGTCCACCGAGTCCAGCATCTGTTTCACCAGCGCTCCGCTCAGCCGAGTACATTTGGACCCAGACATCAGGGAAACGGTTACACCGAGTCGTTACACGCTGTCTGACTTAAAAAGCTAATACCTAACCGGCCCCGGTACGTGCGTCATTAAGGTCGGTCCCGGTACTGGGTGTAAAAGCCGCACTTTGCCGCTGTGGTGAGAGTAAGTACCGGGTTGGTTGAGTTAGAGTAGTGTTTAAATTCAGCGGATAGAAATCCTGACCTTCCACTGACTGTTGCAGCACTTCTGCTCTGACGGTTACTTCCGCACCGGCTTAAAGTGACAGGAACCTCAGGCGAAGACGCTCCAGTCCCACTTCCGGTCAACTCCGTCACTAACCTTTTTTAGTAACTTTATTGAGAAAATATTCAGTACAAGTTACAAACAAATTTATATTCTAAAAGTTTCTACTATTGTATAAATATATATATATTATAATAAATAAATCAATAATACAAGATATATGAAAACTTAAAACAAAAACGAGTTAATGTGAAATGTCTAAATAATATAATAGTTTTGCCAATTTATGATTTTTGAGTTTCCAATTGCAGTCCAAAACATTTTAAAATTGGTAAAAGTATGAAATCATTTTGTGAATATAATCATTTGTATCATTTTTTACTTAAATAATAATTCTGTTAATTAGTTTATTATGTGGTTAATTTTAAAGGGCATAATCATATGTCACCCTCACACAGCATATTACATATATACACACATACTACACCTGCATAGAGTGGTTGCAGAATCTTTTCATTTTTGTCTCATCAATGTTGTGCCCTTAGGGCCCAAAATGAAAAATATGTCAATTTAATCTAAAGCTTTACTTGTTTAAAGTCTGTGTTTCTAGTAGGTGTGTAAAATATCTCCATGTTTGAAGCTACAAGCTCCTCTGAGTTTAACCCAACATGCATCAAATGAGACCTTGTGGGAGACAGACACCAGAGCCCATGAAGTAAACTTTATTTCTTCAGTCAGCAGTAAATCTTAGGTACAGTAAACCCCTGGGAATGGTACAGTAAATGCAGCATAACGGCACAATCAGTTCTGTTTTTTCTGAACAGGTTGTGGAGGAAAGAAAATCTCTCCGAGGTTTCGGCGTAGCCCTCTGCTGTAGTAGTATCTTTTAGAGTGGTCTGGTGCTGGATTACAGAGGTGGTCTGCTGTTGCACTTGGGTGGCAGTGCTGGCAAATGTAACCTCGACTTTTGTACCACTCATTGGCGGTCTGGTTGACAAGAGCCAGGTAGGAATGGAACAGAGCATAACCCGCCAGGAGGAAGAATACAAAGACTAGAAATCCCAGCATGAAGACAATTCTGGGGAAGGTCAGAAAGAGATGCTGGAGAGAAAAAGAAAATGATTTCATTTCGACATGAGATATTACATTCCAAATAAACATGCCTGCAGCACACGCTTGTAATATACAGCATGTCAGCAGTACTTAGCCTCACCTGTACAACAAATACAGGCCCCGCTGGCTGCTGCTGGCCGTACTCATCTATATAACTGGCCGCCAGAAGCCCTGAACGCAGCACAGCATGAAGCAGCATGTCTCCTGTCAGCAGAGCCATGTCACCCGCCATGGCGCACACGCTGAAGAGGTAAAGCAGGAAGTAACGTGTGTTCTGAGCACCGATGCAGTTGTTCACCCAGATACAGTGGTGGTCAAAACGTTGGACACACCTGTTGCAGACTCCTGAAATACAGCCAGTGTTTACGGTGAGCGTAGCAGTGACGGGTACAATATTCATTTAGTTCTCAAACTCCAAGGGAACAGAAGAGCTGGTACACCAGGTATCTGTAGTACTCACTGCAGTGTTTGGAGCGGGCTGGTTTGAGAAGCTGGCAGGTTGGACAGGAGATTCCTGGGTGAAACATCCTCTTGTCATACTGATAAATGTGCAGCTGGCCAGCCACTTTCTTCTTTGTCACTGTGCCTGCCGGAGTCAAGAGGACAGAGTCGAGAAAAAAATACTATTGTATAAAACAAAACACATTCTAGTAATCCAGTCCAGACCTTCATATGATAAGCAGAGGTCTGGTGACGTGTCGACATGAATTATATCCTGTCCAGAACTAATGTCAATGATTCTTGTAAAACATTTGTTAAAATGTCCTGCTTATTTAAATTAACTGGAGTATCTAAAGCCTATTAGGAATTGCAACTGCTTTTTCTGCACACCCACAAACTACAGGGCCTTATAAGCAGTCGTAAGGTAGACCAAGATCACCCTAAGACTAAACTGAATGAATCTTGAATGATCCTTGTAGGGAAATTAAATGTAAGAGAAGTAAGGATGTAAACAACAGAAAATCAAGCACATAAATTACAAACATCCAAAATATCTCCAAAATATGGCAGCACACTGACAAAGAATAACTCTATGGCATGTTGGGAAGGGATACGGCCAGCGTCCCCCTGCCTGTCTCATACTATATATCAGATGAAAATCATTCATATATAAATGTGCAATTCATAAAACATGTTTATAAAACACATAACTGGGGCAAACAAATTAAATTACTATTATTGTTTTAAAAATATTCTGATTTAATCAAAACCTAAATGTTTTAACACTGAATCAGAACTGAATCCTCTCACACTGCAGCCAATAACAAATATGTTTGAACCGCTAAATGAACCTGGATCTCTCTTGATGCAGAGGTAGAAGAAGAAGGTCTTGATGGCCAGCAGGACGTAAGGCACAGACAGGCTGGTCAGAGTGGTATCCATCTCCCTGCAGAAGCCAAACACCTCATAGGTGAACTCCGTGTACACAGCAACCTCTAGCAGGATATGCAGACAGATGAACATGTTGTTCCTGAAATTAGATGCAAATGAAAAAAAAAAAAAAAGGATGAAGGCAAATACACAGAATTGTAATTATTACACTGAAATACACAGATACACACTTAAATGATATTCAGACTTTATTTCTGAGATCACTTTGAACTACAAACCTTTGATGGAACAGTCTGTGCAATGTCCACTGTGAAAACTTTTGGAGCCATTTTGGCGTAAAAGGTGCAACTACCTGTGAAAAACACGTGTGTGACAAATCAGTCCAACAGCGCCACACAGTGTTAGTTGGCGGAGTTACAGTCAGAGTGCTTCTTCTCTTACCTTTACCACAGCGTTGAAGATGACATTAAAGGGGGTTTGCTGCTGGCCTGAGTATTTGCAGACTAGGACTATACATGTCAGCACCACTACGACGTAGATAGCGAACAGAGTGAGGAAATCCATGTCTCACCTGGCAGCTTCAGAGACAGAACAACAGGTGTTTACGGGACAAACTGACAATGGACAGGTAACTCAACGAGAAGCGACACTTTTAGAATAGCTACAACTATTATGTGTTTATTTTGTATTTTGTTTAAACACTGTAAAGACGATTGTTTAAGCGAAATAACGAATTCTGCGTCTTCTAAAAACGACTCAGAGGAACAAGTTCACGTTAGCATGCTGCCCTACCCAAACGTTAGCAAAGCCGCTTCTAACGTTTAGCTACTTTCTAAATGAGTTTACTCGGTTGGTTTCCACAGCCTTACCTTCTAGTCTAGGTCACACATAGCTGCCTTTCACGGTTTTATCTCACGTCATCATAGCTGGTTTGGCTCGCGCTGTGGCTCCACCAGCTTCCCTTTTGGTTCATGAACATGCTCTGTAAAGTGTAAACAATGCTACTTCCTTAGCATCGATGTGGCTACATTCCAAGCTAGCAGCTGAAGGGTTGTGCTAACAGGCTGAGGCTGCTGCAGGGGGGGGGGGACTGTCAGTGTCTGGCTGCATGTCGCTGTCAGTGTGAACTTTGTGCAGGTGGTTTCCGTATACATATTGGTAGTAAGATACACATTGACATTTTAAAGATGACAAATAATTGAGAAAAAGAGTCGAAGAAATCCAGGTTTGAAAGTTTTCTGTCTCATGGTTTCACACATTCTGGAGTCTTTCCTCTTCTGAAGACCCTTTTTATTTTTCCAACAGAGTATTTCAACTCTGACCATCAGATTCACCAACCCTGGCTTCAAAGGTATCCAGTCTCCTGTGTGTTTATCAGGAGTGTGTGTCTTCTGAATGAAGAGGAGCACACTGCTTCCTCCCAGTCAGACATCACATCAGACTACTTAAGAGGACTCTAGCTCCCTACAGAAATAACTGACTCACAGTTACTTAGTATTGTTTTCTCTCTCTCCCACTGTCATCCAGTGCTCCACACAATGCAACACGGCATCACAAGACACCTGTTGGATCTGGTTGCCGACATGGCCCCACACTCATATTACAGCTCACAGTGCTGGAGAGGGGAACAGTACTCGGGAGCTCTGCACGCACACTCATGGACGCTGTTTAAAAAGGTAGGGATGTGTAGCTGTGCTCGTGTGTTGATCATTTGAAATGCCTCTTATGTTAGATATGTAGTTGGTTACAATGCACTGAATGCATTTGCATTCACAACTTGGGGTTGAGAAGTGTCTCCAAATACTTTTCACCCCATTTATGGCAACTGAAGGGCCAATTTAGCTTTCTTAAAGACAGTTTCTTTCAGGTTCCTTGTTTTTTAATATAAAAAAGCTTGTCTAAAGTATAATGCAGATATGCTCAAATGTATAAGTGATTCAGGAACAGTTTTGCTAACTGGGTGGGACTATCAGACTCAATTGCCTGTGAAATGTCAGTTTTCTGTCTGTCATCTTGAGTAACTGTCTTGGCTCTAGTGTAAGAGGAGAGTTTGATTGTTGTGAACGGTGTGTGTTTTGGAGATACAGCCATTTGTGTTTAATTATTCAGTTGGTACCGGACTACCTGTTCTTTATTGGGTGCTTTACCACTAATGACAGTTTACACTCCAATAATCTGCAGGCTTCCTCAGTACTTTCCCCTCATTTAAATTTACTGCCAATAACATCTTAACTGCTGTTACTGACTAACCCACAGCTGCCTTAACATATAGTAAGTGTATCTGGAGTGCCCTAACAATAATAATGATATCTTCCCCCTCTACATAACCGCTAACACTCAATGGTGGAAGAAAGTAATCACATTTAGTCATGTTATTGTGGTTGAGCAGTTTTTATGTATTCGTACTATCAAGTCTGCACTCATTTTCAATTGAAATCAGTCTTTGGGAACTCTTTGTAGCCATAAAATTCACTGTTAACAATGTTCTCCCTTTTAAAATGCAATTCTGTAAATTTTATTCTTAAGAATAACTGCTTCTGAAATGTACTAATGTAATCTTATTTTGGCTGATTAGACCTCTGCTGTGCTTAAAGTTTGGTTTAGTTGAACTAATGAACTAATAAGTGATAAATGTGGAAGTTGCCCCACACTAATAATACAAGCTGGACACACCATGTCCTATATGTGAGGAGGTCCAATTAGCCACAATAAGTGAAAACATCTATATGGGACTACTAAATGCAGCATTATTCTGTTTTGTTTTTAGGTTGTTTTTTTTTTGGCCACTTGGAGGCAGAGCTTAATGGCCATTAAATAAATGTTTATGCCTAATGTGTGGATAATGTGTGAGCAAGCAATTCCCTGGTGAGGGTGTGTGAATGGGATTAGTTTGTCTGATGAGCAGTTGGGACCTTGCATGGCAGCCTCAGCCATCAGCGCATCAGTGCGAATAGGCGAGTGTAACCTGTAGTCTGAAGCGCTTTGAGTGGTCGGCAGGCTAGAAAAGTGCAGTCCATTCTAATTAGCATTTAAGTGAAATATCAGTCATATTAAACTCCTTACTTTTTCTGTTACATGGTGATTTTACGACCTCAGGGATATTGTGAGGGCTCTACAGCATAACCCAGTCATCATTGGTTGCACGTGATATTGGTCATTTACAACATTAAAGCTGCACTACGTAACTTCTATAAAAATCATATATGCTGAAACTTTCACTATATCCTGACATTAGTAAATGAGACAAATAATATGTGAAAAATCAGGTTCTTCTGGCTCCTCCATGTGTTACTAATTGTATTTTTTCAATGGCTGAATGAAAATCGGAGCCAGGAAAGATAGTTGATTGTTGAGTCTCATTCCCAGGTCTTCAAATACCAACGCTTTGGGACCTGGGAATGAGACTCAACAATCAACTTTTTCTCAGACATTTTTTATAAAAGTTACCTACTGCAGCTTTAAAGCCAAGAGGACTTAAAAAGTTTTGAATTTCTGAACAAAAATCAGCTGGCAATACTCGCTGCTATCAGCTCACGAGGAGAGACAGAACAAATGGGTTGAAATCAAGGCATAGACTTCAGCAGTGTTCTTTTTAATAAAAAAATTTCATCAGAACAGTTTGGAAGATATTTGCGCTTATTATACTGTTGCACCAGGTTTGTGCTTTCAGTCTTAAATTGTAAATGTTTTCCCTTCAGTTTTGATGTAAACTCAGCCTCTGACACGGACTGTATCTTGACGCTGAAATGTTTTGTCACACATTCTGACTCATCACCAGATAATAAATGCCCTTTGGTATGTACAATTCCTGTATGGTTCCTCCACAGCCAGTGCATGTATTCATTAATGGAGGGGAGCATGTGTTCCTTCAGTATTAATGACAGGGGGGTGGAGGAGAAGATTCAGCTCATAATCCTACTAATCCTACAGGCTAAAGTCTTAAATTGCCCCTGCACCTTCTCAATGGGCCAAACACTTCAGTGCGCTCACACACATGGCAACGCACAGAATTCCAGGCAAGCAGACGCTCCAATTAGTACTCAGCAGGCTTCCTTGCATCGACGCAGAGTGATTCTGGGCCAGGAGCGGTCCCTCGGAGAGCCACCTAGCCGAGAGAGGAGGAGGAAAAAGACACATTGGTGTATTTATAGAAAAATGAGGCCTCACAATACCCTTTTTGGAGTGAGAATTATTAAGGAACCGAGGTGCGCGGGTGCACGCGTCCCAGTTTTCTGATTAACACTGTGCAAGCAGGCTGGCCCAAGGATGAATCAGGGATGAGACGCAGGACTAACTCCTTGACACAGTCACAGAGAGACTGCACTGGCTTCTCATGCACACTCATCCTTTGCTCATGAGGACACTGCTGTGATTTCAGGGTGGAAGAATGGGGCAGTGTTTTGAGTTTGTCACCCTTTTTGTTTGACTTTGGGTTGCAGGGTGATCAGTGGGGAATTCTTTTTTTTTTTTTTTTTTTTTTTTAACATTATATTTGAGAAGACAGCTTGGATATCAGGCTGCTAGAAGGCCGGCTGCTATTTGACATTCAAGATGAAGAAGTTTTTGCAAAACAAAAAAGGCCGATACTCTTTTCGGCAGAGCAAACGGGGCTCTCGGTATCCATCTAAAGATTTCTGTAAGTCCTTTATCAGCTTCGTCCACTGTGTGAATCCTGCTGTGGCTTTGGAGACTGTGGGGCACAACATTAGCTTCCAGCTGAGCTAGAGGCTTTATAGTTGATTATATTTAGCAAAAAGCCAACATGTCAATTCATGTAATTCTGTATTTGTCATATTAGAGATGTTTTTTAAAAACTGTCACATGTGGATTAAATTATTTTCATCTCAATATTTCAGTCCAAAGTTTGGCCCTCTAAATTTGCCAGTTTTCCTTATTTGATTGTTATTTGATGCCATTTTGTATCTCTTACCCGCTTAGAAATTATCAGTGCAGTCATGGTGCACTCTGTGACTATATTGCATAATTGCATTCAACAGGACAGACTCGCATGTGCGCTGAGTGGGAAAAAAAAAAAATGCTGGAGGAACTTTTGTCTCTCAAACTAATTAAGGTCACAATCTCTGCAATGCCTTAATTTGATTGGCTGCTGTGGAGTTTGTGAACCAGGTCAGGGACCGCTGAGTGTGTCATGGTTCAGGGTAGAGGGTTACAGAGCCGCACTCGATAGTACAACTTGAGACACAGGAGATAGCAGGAGGGAGGAGAGACAGTGTGCGAGTGGCAAAGAATTGGAGCTCTTGCAGAGGATTATTTGATCCAAAGCTGTCTTTGCAATGTCGATTGACTTGAATGTATTGACCACAGTGGGTAAGTTTATCTTCATTTTTAAGTAAGCATGTTGTCTCATTACCTCGTCCATTTTTGTCTGCAGTGAAGCTCCAAAGTGCAGGACCCCCACTTTGTGAAACCCTTGGATTATGTGTGGTTACTTGGTCCCCCCTCGAATCTCACATCCTTTCTTTCTCCCACCTCACCTATTTCACCCCGTCCTCTCCTCCCTCAAGTCCTTAGCATGCCGTCGTCCAACCAGGGCTGGCCTGAGGAGTTCGGCTTCCAGCTGGGTGGGAATGGACCCAGCTACATCCTGTCTGTGGAGGAGGGCAGCAGTGCCCACCTGGCGGGGTTGCAGGCTGGGGACCAGGTCCTGGAGATCGAGGGCCACAATGTGTCAACACTGGGTCCCCAAGCTGTCATCGCCATCGCCCAGACTCAGAAGAACATCCCTCCCAGTATCGGAGTGGTGTCCCGCATACAGCAGGTATTACAGCTTTTGAATCAATCGCAGCAGTAATGCATATGGGGGTTAATGTCTGTGGAGTTGCATGTGATAGTACGATAACAGTATATCCAGAGAGACTGATCCTTTTGGGGGTATGTTCTTGGGTCTAACATTTAGGCAAATTCTCATAAATTAAAGTAAATTCATATTATAATTTCAGATGGACATCATACCCGGTCCGGACGGTCGTTTCGGGTTCACCATCGTGGGAGACTGTCCCCTGCTGGTGGAGGACTGCTCGCCTTGCTCTCCAGCCGGCCGCGCAGGTCTGAAGGCCGGGGATTACGTCATGGAGGTCAACGGCATCCCCGTCAGGCAGCACGAAATGGCTGCGGCGCTGATCAAGGCCTCCCAGGGGCGGACGCTCCGTCTGGGGGTGCTGTGCCTTGCCCCGAGGCAGAAACACAGCATCAGCATAGAGGACAGTCAGCTGGGAGGAGAAGGGGCGAGACTGGATCGTAAACATAAAGCTCTGGAGTTCAACAGGAAGGTATGTTTAGGTGCACACTAACAGCTGAGTCCAGGTTAATCCTGATACCTCGTACAGTTGAGTTCGGCAGTTGAAGGGCCTGATAATGTATTTTCTCAATAATGTCCAAAACACTTCTGCCAAAGTTTGAAGTGGGCCTGGCTCCAAAAGGCTTTGAAATTGTTACAGTAATATTTTCTGCTCTGCTAAATCCTTCCTATGGAATTTCATACAATGCAGAGTGGACGACAAAATATCCAAAGACACAAAGTCTGACTCAAGTCCAAACTTAAGTAACATGTGTAAGGCTATTGTGTTTTTCGAACTGCAGATGAAGTGTTGTTATGCTAACAATCAGGCACTGTGTAAAACTAGGTGACAGCATGTCCCCCTGTTTTTTAATTTTTACTGCTGTCCACAAACTACTCTGAGCCTCTAACACCGCTGTCCAATCTCCATCAGGTTGAGCAGATTCTAGGTGATGAACCTGAAGTCAAAGAGAAACTGTTCAATGTGCTGAAGCAGTACGCAACAGAGAAGAGAGTTGAGTGGCTGGCCTCCGCCCTGCCCGACATACTCACAACTGATGAGCATCGACAGCTCATTTCCAGCATCAGGTAAGAGCCCCCATTACAATGGACTGCCAAACATAGTTTAGTAAAAACTGCCCGTAGAAACATGGCTGCTTATTCAGTGGAGAGCATGATTCTTGTTTCTGGCCTGGCCCCTCTAATCCACCCTTTGAAACTGTGTGAAAGTGGCCAACCATTGACCATAAAAAGCCATATCCTGGGCAAATAGGGCAAATACTTCCTAAAGAAGTACATTACCTACTACAGGCTGTGATCCGTGGACAGGCAAATCAAGACAGGCAGTATGGCAGTGTTGTTCGATTATTACTCCCAGTCTTGGTGTTGTATCCCACACACATCCTCACTTGTCCTTTTCAAGACCTAGTGAAAAGTAAAATAATCTGCAGGGATTTAATTTGTAATGACCACGTAAACAGGCTTTTCCTGTTGCTCATTCTGTGGCAGGATGGATTAGAGGGGGGTCTCGTTCGCTGCCAGCCATTTCAGAGCTCCGCTTTAGGTTTAGGTGGGCCCCATCTGCCACCCGGGGTAAATCCACACTGACCCTCCAAGTCGCTTAAAGTGTCATCAGTGTTAGTGAAACCGAGAGACTAAACTGTCATAGAGGGGCCCAAGCTTAAAGTTTTTTCTACAGTAAATGGGGATTGGCGACGTGAGCCGAATTCACAGCATGGAGGTGCCTGTGATGATGAGCCATGGACAGATTGAGTTGAGTACTCGCTTCATGAAAACATAATTTTTTTTTTTTTAGGAAAAAAAAAAAACCTGGAGCTACAGCCAACAGGTTTTTTGAAGGTGTGTGGCAGTGTGTTTCCATGAGATGGAGTAACGCCAGATGACTAAACGTGAATAACCACTTAGGTAGCCAGAGTCGTGTACGCCAGAATGACCAGCACTGTGAATCCCCAGACGGTTTGTCAACAGATTGCACTTCTTCCTCAAGTAGAGCCAATCAAACCTTTTGTTCTCTTACTACACTGGCTTCCTCCACTACTACACCACTCTTTTTTAATGGTATTAATATATCGTAGGAAGGGTTTCCAGCAGCAGGAAGTCAGTGCTAAGGTAGTTTCATTGTTTCCCGACCTGAAATGACGCGACGCGACAGGATTTTTCTGCCTTAAAATTGGTCATGAATAATTCAAACTCTGTCGACTGAGAATTCATTGGTATTTGTATAATGGACACTCCTATTTGCACGAGCGCCAGTAATAACATTAATGCCACCTTTCTGTGGTTTTTGCACTCCCCACCCATCTCACAACTCTCTTACCTCTCTCTCTCTCTCTCTCTCTCTGAGGGGGGTTTTTGTGTTGTTCTCTTATGGATTTTCTTCTTCATTATTCTGCTCAGAGCCCGGGCTGTTCCCCGCTCTCTCTCTCTCTCTCTCTCTGTGTGGTGACCGTTTTCCCTTGACACTTGGTAAAGACAGCCTCCCGCATGCACCAAGGTCCCACCATATCTTTAATCCCCCACAGAGAAGCAACGTTGAAGCAGTAGGTGTATCCGTGGTGGTGCAACTTAGTGCTTAGGTTTAGTTTATTTCTGAGATATGGGTGACAGCTAAAACGATGAATTGTCTGGGGTGAGTATACCTTTCCGTTCTTTTGTGTGTTGTTAATAGTAAGATTTTATGAAAAGTGTTTGTTTGTGAGGGAGTTTATGCATTTTTGTCAGCTGCACTGCTTTTACAAAGTGCCATCAGTGTAATTATGTATGTGAAGTGGGAGGTGAGTGAATCTTTAATGCAATCAGAGACGGTACAGGACTACAGCTGCTGTTGATGTTTGATATCTGATGTTTTAAGCTTCGAAACCATCTATTCCCCCGTTGTTTTTCTAAGCTTTCTTCTAGGCTATTCTGAGTTTTGTATCTATAATTTATTAATTCAAATGAGCCGTCAACAGCGTGTTCATGTAGTTGGAGGTGATGCGACCATTCTTGGATGGAGACTGCTAGTTGTAAAACAAAGGGACACTACTGTGCTATTGTCTCTTAAGTGACTGAAGTCATTAGGATGAGTGATGCTCTGCTTTTAGTGTGTAATCTCTTGCCACGTGTTTGAGGGTGTGTGCCTGTGTGTATCTGTTTGTGCTGGTGAATGCTTTTGAGCTGAATGTTGATTTTTCAGATTACATCCTTTTAAACGGTATCTGCCTGTATTACATCAAGTCTTTGTGTGTGTGTGTGTGTGTGTGTGTGTGTGTGTGTGTGTGTGTGTGTGTGTGTGTGTGTGTGTGTGTGTGTGTGTGTGTGTGTGTGTGTGTGTGTGTGTGTGTGTGTGTGTGTGTAAAATAGCAGCCACTTCTGATGTCTACCAGTAACTGCATGGGAAATATGATCATGGAGATTTGTTTCAAAGTCTACCTTCTTAGCTAAGTAGAAATGCAGTGATAGTTGTGCCCTATGAAGGAAAAAGAGTGATCAAAGGTTGATTATGCTGTGCACAAAGCTTTCTCTTTCAATAGTTCTGATAATGATGGTGTTTAATCCTAACTGCTGGAGTCAGTGGCTGCAGTTCCTGCTGAGTTGCTACACTGCACATGCTTAGAAACATTAGTGGCTCTCAAGCGCCTTGCAAACTGTTTTCATTAAAGTGGGTGATGAGCACAAACAATACTAAAGCCAGTGCATTCATAACTGCAAGTTGTTTCTTTTCATCAACACACACAACCAAATTAGGTGCTGTTTTATGTGACCAACAAAAAGCACAACGGACCATCCATGGCTTCAGAGATGGCAGTGGCGGTCAGTTGGGTTGATCCACCATTTTGGTCCAGACTGATATAGCTTGACCACTACTGAATGAATTACCATTACATGTTGTACAGATATTCAAGATATTGATTTGGATTTTCATCTATATGAAGTTGACATATTTGGTTTTTAGTTTCCCCCAGATTTAGCACACACATTCACGCCCCCCTCAGGATTAATTGTAATAACTTATAATGACCGTCTGACTACACAATGCCACAATCATCACCAGATCAAAGTCTCAATTTCTGTAATATTTTGGTATTTAATATCAAATACATGCTCCCAACACCCTCAGCTATACTGTATTGTCACTGTGAGCATGTGAGCATTTAGTACATCCACACGGAGCAGCCAGCATGGCTGTAGACTCTTGATGATGATTTTTGATTTTTTTAATGTAAATTTATAAGCAGAAATGTAGTGTTGTTGCTTTTGTAGTTAAAATAAAAAACATGTCTTAGTCTCTGTGGATGTTGTTTTTTTAGACCTGTTCCAAAAAACTAAGCTTATATAGTAGTAGTCAGGTTAGTTTTGCAAAGATATAATTGAAAAGATGTCACAGTACTCAGCCTGAGAACCATCATCACTTACAGCATCAGCAGATAGTGTCACCAATTACATTTAATGTACTGTATGAAAAAGCATATCCACCACTGCTGTAGTAGTATAGTCAAATTGGCTTTTAATTTACACTGTGCAGTCATGCTTAAACCTGGAACTCTGTATATGTTATGTAACATCATCAAAGTGTTGCCCCTTTTTCTTTTATTTCAGCTTACTTTCTGTTTCATTCCTTATCAGCATCCCTTTTATGATTTTGTGAACATGGTCATACTTTGATCACATGTATTCTTAGCCTCATTAATCCAGCGTGCTGACCTTTTATACCAGCACAGTTTTTAATCATCTACTTTTACAAGTTCCTGGATGCAGACCAGCCACACAGTGATGCTCACAGCGGATTTGAAATCATATAATTATCTTTTAATTCCACCGGCTTTATCCTTAAATTTGTTACCTACCACTGTGTTCAAGAGAAGCAGGACAAATAGATCATGTAAGAAAGATGCTTTCCAAAGAAATGTCCATTATTTGACACCTCTCCATGTGTTCAGACGTGGCATCGGTCTCACACTTTTGGCATTTAAGCCACATCTGGACACTCAAAATGAAATGAGGTCTCCTCTTTGTAGTTTTCTGCTTGTCATTCCTCCCTTTTGAGAAATACGTCCCTTCCTCCCTTCTTGCTTCCTCCTCCACAACCCTCCTTCAGATAATTATAGATCTCTGTTCTCTATAAATGAGGTCAAATCAGAGCACTCATTTAGTTTCCAAGAGTTGACGCGGAAAACTTTTTGTGATGAGGTGGCTGTTTCAACAGATGGCTGTGCAATCTGCGGTGGATGAACATCTGCATTTATAAAAGCATAAATCTGATAGCAGCAAACCGCACTCGCACACACACTCACACACATCCTAACACAGACATGTACTGTGTGAGAGACAGAGACATATTAGCACTGTGATATGAATAGATGACAAATAGCAGGGAAGCAGAGATAGCAAACAGTGAAGGACTGTGTGGGTAGCTACACCTACATCACTACAGAACATTTATTTATATCTCAGGAGTCTGCTCATTGTAGCCAGTAGTCTGCAGCACTGTCTCAGGCTGCATGATGACATGATGTACACCTCAAACCTGATCAGAATCTGCAGAGACGGTGACAGCGAGGCTAAGAATATGTGGCCTATATCTTTAACTGAGCAGATTTGTTCCAAAAATGAAATACCCACCATTTCCTAAAAGTGGCAGTTACTCTAAAACGAGTGATGACATTAAATTAAAACAAATGGTGCATGTTTTTAAAGGGAACTGGTACTGGTAACTCAAAGCCACTATGTGTTGGTCATTTGATGTAATATTAACATTATGTAAATCATTCTGATGGGGGAAACTTGGAATATTATTGAAGAGAAAACATTTTTGGAACTATTATTATGCATTTTTCCAACAACAGGGAGGCTACATGTGAAGAAATATAAGTTAAATAGCTATATCAGCTCAACAAAATGACCAATGATTATAGAGCAATTATAAATCAATGGTAGAGTTTCTGTATTCTTTAAAACTCTCAACTAACTGATGTAGAGGGGTACTCCAGAGTGTGTCAGTCACTCTGTTGGTGCCAGTGTGTTGGGTGTGGTTGCAGGTGCGTCAGAGCACAAGTTTGACCACACCCATTAGTGATGCTGTTAGAGGTCAAACAGACTTCCAACTTTCAACCAGAGGTGCCAAGTAACTCTTTAAAGGGGCATTCCAGTTATTACATAATCCACTCCCATAAAGTTGGGAGGCTCGTGAGCCAGATTAAAAAAAGAATCGTCAAAATTGAAGCACCAGAGGCTGAGATATCCTGACCTTTAACCCCCTAGTAAGCCCTACATCCCACACTTCCCATAATGCAACTTGATAACATTTTTCATTCGATCATCCCTGTCTGAATGCCCATGTCTTTCAAACTCCACAACCCCAATTTGTAACACAGTCTCTCTGCTAAAAGTTGTCTCAATAAAAAATGTCTTGAGCTGAAATCAATAACCCTGATTACCTCACCATGACATTATCAGGGGTACGCCTCATAACAACTAATTGATCTGGTCTTGAACTGATGTTAATATGTAAAGCTGGCCCCTTTCATAAGTGTTCAGTAGGCTCCTTAAGTCATTTTGCAATACACAACTGAATCTGCTGTGAGCCCTTGGAAGCCAGGAAAAATGCATAATTAAAGCAGGAGGCAGGAGAATCATGTCAAAAACTTGTTTTGTTGTGGTGCTGAATGGAGAGCTCCTGTAAAGAGGGTAGCAGCATACGTTGTTCTTTACTACGGTGTATTTTTTAATGCTACCACTGGGGGGCCCAAAGTTGGACATTTGTAAATTCTGTATTCTGTATTTTCAATGCTTTTGAGATATGGAGTATAAGACTTTTTCACGCAATAGAGTTTTAATGTGGTGTTTTGCAAGGTGCTGTATCTCCTTTGTATAATAAAAGAGGACTTGCTTGAGCAGTTCAGGTTTATGGACTTCACAGACTTCAGTTTATGGACCTCTATCTTTCATCTATGGAGAATATCTCTGACCTTTTCACAGCGTGTACGAACATCTCATAAAGAGATTACTTACCGACAAGTTTGATCAAAAGAGGAAGCCATCCTTTCAAGGCGAAACATAGTGAATGATATATTTAAAAGGACAGAAACTAACCTTTCTGCCTGGTTAGCAAAATTTTAACATGCATTAGATCTAGAGTGGCATGGCCGACATTATCAGTCAGTATCCCAGATATGTCTATGTCTGTTTATATTTCAACTGATAAGTAACAAGAAGTTATGTGTTTATTTTTTTAAATTATTATCAGCCATTACATTGTTATTACATTGTTTCTAAACTCCAAAATAATGAGATTTTTATTGTATAGGTCTGTCTGTACAGCTACTAAACATACCTCAGGAACGAGGCATACAGGCAACCAGTGCTGTTCACAGTAGCTGACCTTTAGGTTCCACGTGTAAATGAGATTTCATTATACGCCACACGGCGGGAACGACACAGGGCTGGAGGTGCTCTACATTTACCTGAGTACCATTTTAATAGAAGTGCTTAAACAACTCTTGATAATAAAATGAGCATTTGCCGGGCCTCACGTTTGCTGTGATGTAGATTTTTCTCTCTCTCTCTTTCTCTCTGTACAGTGTGTGTCCTAATTTCTTTATTTAGCTGTCAAAGTTGTTTTTATGCAGCTTAATTAGCTTCTCATGTACATGTACAGTGGTAGCTGTTGTCTCCTTCTTGTGTCTATCAGCGAGTTTGTTCCTAATTACTCCACTGGTGCTGTTTTTCACAGACAACACTACACCCAGTCTGCTAATGGCTGATTCATCTGATCAGCAGATCAGCAGCGAATCAGCGAGTCAGAACACAGCAGACTGGTGTAGGTGGGAATCAAAAAGGTTGTTTGTGCAGTTCTGTGTTCGGTGCTCCGCTCTCAGCTGGATCTTAGTGCCACTGCGATTTACACAAACATGGAATCAAATAATCAACTTCTGACTCTCCGGATGTATCAGCTGGGATTTAGGTTCTCTTAGGCCAGAAAAAGATGTGGTGTTGATATATTGGACATTTTACGTACATTTTCTAAGAATATATAACTACATTGTAGAAGGAGTATGCCGAATAGTAGGGGTCAGACGAGGTTGTACACTTGACGTTGTTTGACTGCCTCAAGCTTACGTTAGCAATCGAGTTTGTCGAGTTAGACGGCTGCTTTGTACAAAGTCGACTGAATCTCTGCATGGTCTGTTACGCTTATAGACCGTACATTTCGAATTCTAACATTACACTTCAAACACTTCTTCAAATTTTGAGTAAAAAGTCAAAGCCCTGTCACTTTCTTGCAGAGAGTTAGATGAGAAGATCGATACCGCTCTCATGTCTGTACAGCTAGAAGGACTAGAAACAGTGTGAAACAGCTAGCCTGGCTCCATTTCTCTCTGGTATGTTATTTTTATACTTGAATTTTTGTACAACTTAAATAAACAAGATGTAATATGTTAATTAGTGAGTTTTAGAGGTTTGGACGGAGCCAGGCTACCTGTTTCCCTGTGTTTCCAGTCTTTATGCTAAGCTAAGCTATCTATCCTCCTGGCTGTAGCTTCATATTTAAAGTGGCATATAGCTCGTCAAATCTTCGGTAAGAAAGGCAGGGAGGGTCTAATGAAATATTTGATCAAGTTGCATTATGGGGATTGTAGGATCCAGCTTTTGAGATTTTGACCCATTCTTTAAAATAAAAGTCAGCATATTTTGACCTGTGCTGTACCGATTTGGACTGTTAGTTTTTGAACTGGTTTCTCGCAGGTTTACCAACTTAAGAAAAGTTTAATATAAATAAAAAATCTACCCCTTCAAGAATTATATAAGACAATGGAGCTCCTTTTGTGGGGTTGGTGATGTTTTTTCCCCTTGCTGTTTTTAATATGTAGTGAAAAAGAGCTTTTATATTATAAAGCAAAGCTCATACTGGGCTCTTAATTGAAATGAGAATGATTTATTTAGAGTGAACTATTTACACCTACTGCTTTTGCTTGTCTTTTATCTCATGAAGCTGAAGTGGGTTGAGCTTCTTCATCAAAATGGGAGTACTGATAAGGTCTCAGGTCAATAAGATGATGACAGCTGCCTGCTCTGTGCTCACACTGACACAGAGGTGAGGCGTGGACGGAAGTGTGGGAGAGCGAGAGAGTGAGAATGAGATACTGTAGATAGAAAAAGAGAGAGAGGGATGGCAGAGGAGAAATCCCATGCTCGCTCACTCCCACACCTTTTTCTCTTGCTGTATTCTGGCTCTGGTACCTCACGCTGCAGCAGTGAGACTCCAGCAAGCAGCAAGTAACGCCAAGATTTCCTCACTGTCTCTCTCCTCCAGAGAAAGACCTCTTCTCTCCGGCTTCCTATTCAACTTCTCTTTCTTTCTTCTCTGTGGGGATAGCAGGGAAAGACCACCTCTCTCCATCAAAAGCCTTTTTCTTTTCTTTGAATTGAGTCTTGAAGGAGGAAGCCTGTTGATCTGAATTGGTGTGGACTTATTTCAGCAGCGATTGAGTTGATAATCACTTTTTAATCCCTCCTCATGCTGGATCTTTGACTTGCTGCTTTTATTTCAGTGGGACCGCAAAATGGATCGCGGTGGATCTGTGATGTAGATCCATCTTCTTTCCTACTCTTTTTCTTTTCTCTGAGTCAACTCTTGTGGACAAAAACTAATATCGCTCCCTTTATTTTCCTCACATGCCACCATGTTCGCTAGAATCTTCATTCCCAAGAAGCACCGGCAGCGCTTCGACGAGGCCGTGTCCCAGAACGTGATCAACCGAATCTGCCGCAGCAAGAGCATCAGCGAGCCCCATGGAAGAATCCGCCGCAGTCGGAGCGAGGATCACTCTGAGCGCCACCACGGGTCCAAACGGGCCAGCTCGGTGCCAAGAGATGGAGAACCTGGAGGGAGGGGTGAGACGGAGAGAGACAGAGGTTTAAGGAAGGGGATGCCAGCGCATCCCCCCATCGGACCTAATCAGAGGTGAGCGCACATGTATAAGAGTCCTAATTTGTTGTTTTTTGTAATGAGTCTCTTTGGCTCTGTTTTAAGTGTTGTTTACTGTTGGATACCAGGCTACCAACAGGTTAATGTCAACACGTAATTCAACAGCCAAATGTTGACTTTATTATTCAGACATTTACAGGCAGACTGTTTTGAAAACGGTTTTGAAAAAGAGGACAGTTTCTCTTTTTCCATCCTAAAGCTCTTGTTTTCCTGAGCCACGTCACAAAGCTGCACTTAGAAAACCCAAAATATGTGTATATAAGATGTTTTTACACCCTACAATGTAAGTTAGAAAGTGCTCATTTAGCCAAATAACCACGTCTTTAGCTGCTTAAAACTTAAAATTCCATCCTGCGTGTGTGTATCTCCTCACCTATTCAACGTGTTAATCCTGCAATGTTGTAGAGCCCCTGACCATTGAACCTCTGCCGCTCATCCTCCTCCCACTAACACACTGATTACACGACTGTCCAATTAATAACACCGCAGCGGAGTGCAGGATTACAGGGGTGGCAGCGCACTCACACACTCCCACACTCCCACACTAAGCCAACTAACTATAAACCTCAAGATCTCCATTCATCCACACAGGAGTGAAAATGTGTGCCTGAATGTGTCAAGTGTAATCGTATCGGCAGGGCACACAACAATAGGAGGCAAGCCTATTGTGTTAAATTGGAGAGGTTACATTATGTGGTGGACTGTAAGTGGCAGAGTCACAATAATACGTTGCTGCATGCTGGTGCCTTCCCTGAACTGAAAAAAAAAAACTGTGTTGTGTAACACTGTACAGTCTCCATTGTAACAAACCAGATACATACATAGATAGATAGCTAGGATTTATCGGCCACCATAGCTTCTCCTACACGCTTGGAATGGGAAAGTGAGACGAGGGGGTTGTTTCGGAACAGATACCGGGACCTTTGCTAATATTCACTCGACCTCACCTGATTTCACCAGCCTGCTTTCATCCACTAACATGACATCCAGTTTGCCGTCTGCCTGAATCCATGTGAATGCAGCATAAATCCTCCGCTGGTCCTTAGAGATATAACATGTTTTTGAATGAATCCACTCCCAGATGTGTTAAAAAAAATTTACTTTCAGTGAATGATCTTTTACTATATCCTGTTTACAAAATGGCCTATTGATATAGATACTCAAAATCAACCACTATAGATTGGCAAATGTCTTTTTTCAGGCAGATGTTGGACAGCAGCTGCTGCCTCGGTAGTTTCATTAAGTAGTGACCGACTGATTCATTTGGTTTTGGCTCAACGGCTTCGTGTTAAACCATGTAAAAGTACACAGACACTCAGTTTGTTAAGTGTGCTCAAGGCTGATGCTGCAGTTATTTTTGTGGCTGCACAGCCCAGCACACTCTGCACACACACACACACACACACACACACACACACACACACACACACACACACACACACACACACACACACAGCAGCACCCAATGCTCCCATCTGCATTTAGCTCGTCTTACATAACAACCAGTAACCACAGCTATCAAAGAATAGATCTGTCTGTTTTCTCTCCCATCTTTGTCTCCCCCCCCTGCTTACATACAGAGGCTGTGTTGCCTTGAGTCGTTTCCATGGCAACGAGCTGTGGATAGACAGTATGCTTTATTTTTGATGTAACGGGATGTTCCACCATGTACAAAGCGAAGCACCATCATCAGCAAAATGTCAAAGCTTTTTGTTGAGTGTCCTGAATTATTTTTATTTAGGCCGGAAGCTTAAAAACAAAACTCGGAGAAAGACATGTGGAGGAAAACTACAACAAAAAAAGAAAAAAGCCACGTTACCAGCCTAGATCACAAAGTTGGATTGCAGTAAAGATGAGCGTCATACCCCCGCTTGTTCAGACTCCCACCTACAGGAAATGACAAATCAAAACAGCAGCCCTGTAAACAGCAGTGAGCGAGTGCTCCAACAGCTGGGTTCCCCGTCCATTCCCAGAACGGTTGTTAAACGTCAGCGTAGCTCAGTGACGTCACAATTAACGCCGAAACGATTCATTGGTTAGTTGTTAGTCATTCGCCAAACAGTCTCTGGTTCCAGCTTATCAAACTCTGCCTCCTCTCTTTGTTTTATATCCTTTTAAACTCAATATCTTTGGGTTTTGGACTATTGGTTGGACACATTTGGAGAGCTTTCTTGGGAATTTCTTGGGAATTTTTCATCCTTTCCTGAAATGTTATTGCCTATTTTATTAATTAATGGATCAAAAAATATAAGTGCTATATTAATTGATAATGACAACAATCATTAGTCGCAGCCCTGGACACATTGATAGTGGTTAGTGGATCGATGAGAAAATAGATAAAGAAATTTAAAGTTAAAAATGTTTTAAGTTAAACTGAAGTAGTATTTTATTGGTGTATTGGTTTAGTAATTTGGTGCATTTCAAGTTGAAACGGGACGATTGAGAATGACCTTAAGTGAAAACCAGAAAAATAAACTCTAAATTGTGTATTCGCCAAGGTTTATACGCAAATGTTTTATTCCACTGATATAATAAGTCATAAGATTATTTCCACGACTCTGTACATCTGCTGTTTAATTGTTCATCTCACTTCCTGTCTTTCGTCAGGGTCATTCGTGTCTACAGGGGGAAGAAGAACTTCGGCTTCACGCTGCGAGGTCACGCTCCCGTCTGCATCGACTCTGTTATCCCAGGTACTGCTTCTACATTAAAACCAGTACAGTCCTGATAGATGCCTCCTCTCTGTGCGTGGTGGTTTGACCCAAACATTGTTCTGTGTTGGCCGACGAGGGAGGGATGTGTTTAATGTGGGTGAGTCTGTTGTGGTGCCAGCCGCTGAGGGTTGAAGGTGATCAGGAGGTGTTTGTGTGTGTGACTATGAATGTACCAGGAAGTGGATCTGTCTGACTCACCAATGAACTATTAAGAGGAAAACTCTCAGAACAGGCTGTACTGTACAGTAACAGACACATATAGCAGTCAGTACTACGCAGTCGCATTCAGGCACAGACTTTTATCTGGAGTTAGAGTTTTCTTCAACTTCTTTTTTTTTTCCCAATTTCCTTTTTTCACATCATACTGCGATAATAGAAGGATTAGAAGGATTTACAGATACAAATTCAAACCGCCACAAATAGAGATATAAAATAAATAAGGACATTTTGTATATCACATCATACTTTCATATCGTTTGTCATCTTGCACTACACATACATTTTATCACAAGTGCATCTTACCCCACTTGTAAGGCTCCCTCTTCTACCTTTTATTTCTTTTAGTTTATCTAATGGACGCCCACAGAGCAGGATATACAACCAAGATATGATAGCAGATGCCATTATATAGAAATATCAAAATGATGTCTTTAATAGTTCAGCATTTTGAGAAGACAAAACACAACTCTCACGTCTGTCGGGTAAATATGAAACTATATGAAGCTATAGCCTATAGCTTAGCTTAGCATAAAGACTGGAAAAAGGGGGAAACAGCTGGACTGACTTAAGGTAACATAATCCACCTACCAGCACCTCTAAAGCTCACTAACTAAAATGTTATATCTTGAGCTTTACATTTTACATACGTTTAAACGTTAAAAGAAACCATTTGTTTGGTTTTATGGGAAAGTAGCCAAAGCTAACCGGCTGCTGCTTGTAGCTTCGTATTGATCTTATATTATATATCTTACCTCATAACAATCTTCTCCTCTTGTCAAGAAACCAAATATACGTACATATACGTAACACAGGAGCTTTTTCCCTACACATACATCAAAACAAGCTATGTTTATTGGTTTCCTCGGGTCAGCCATGCAGAATTTCTTATTGTTTTAATTTTTAATCAGTGAACCTGCAGTTGTGTTATGTTTTGGATACAATACCACCAGCTGATATTAGTGGCATAAAAACTAAACTCACTGTTAAATATTTGTCAGGGTAATTGCTACTAAGAGCTTTTGGTGAACATAATACATAATTACTTTTTATTTCCAGCAGCAGTGGAAGTTTATTTGATTAACTGTTAGTGCTTTCCCAAACAAAAGTAGCAGACAAGAGAGGCTGTGAAGTTGCCGTTGAGGGAATTTGCCAGGTTCCTCGGTGAGGAGGGAGGTGTGTGTGTGTGCGTGTGTTATGTGTGTTTGATGATGACGGCACCCTTCCCGCCCACCATCATCTCCCACCATCATGTGCTGAAGCGGCCGGGGCGGACTGACTCAGTGGGCCTTATGGAGGTTGACATGGAGATAGAGGGGGTGGATAGCATGTCTCTCATCGTGATCTGTACACAGATCCTTTACTGATAACCAGGAAACAACAAACTCAGATTTTTTAAAGTCTGACTCGTGGCCTGTGAAGGTGCCTAAGCCTGCACACGCTACATTATCACATGAAGAGTTTGTTACATCCAAACTTTGGGTAATAAAAAAAAAAAAGATGACATGACATTCAATGTGAGGAGTATTCAACAGTGAGTTGACAGATGAGGAGGCGACGGCGGACGGGTACAGTGCAGTCAGAACAGATTCCACGAGGATTGTTTTGACAGCGCTATTTCCTTACGTAATAAGATTCAGCACAGAGAGTTTCTCCATTGTTGATGGGCTTTGTTGGATGCCATACACAGATTGACAGCATCACATTAGTCACCATCTTTCCCTGTTGTGCCCGTCTGTTCAGTGCACCTTGTTAGCTGGTGAGGTTGTGCCAGGATCAGTTTTCAATCTCTGATTGATGTTTGATTTTCTGCCATCTTTGTTTCCCTCTCAGATAGTCCTGCCGAGGAATGTGGACTGAAACCAGGCGACCGTATCCTCTTCCTCAATGGACTGGATATGAGGTTTGTAACATCATCATTATTGTTATGATTATTATTAGCAGTGGCAGTTGTAGTAGTATTTTGTTTTGCCTGCTGTCCAAGTTCTGGAATTTAATCAGTATATGTGGAGATATCAGGGCTTTCTTTTCTCCAGGAGAAGCCATCTGCTGAGTTCTTCAACGTAAAAGCAGTATGTTCATTGTGTCTCCTTCCTGTCTGTGATCTTCAGGAGAAAGTCTCAGCCATGAAAATAAAGCCTCAAAAATATGTAGCTTTACCTGTATGATCACATCTAACTCCTCTGATATTGGAAGTATTAAAGCCAGAATGAAATAGATTTCATTGTAGAAACGAGTACAATAAAAAAAATTAATTACATCATAAACCTAATTGGAAACTAATTTGGGCCAGATGTACCGGAAATAGGCTGAATAATTATACATTTTCAGAAATACACTTATTCACTTTCTTGCATAGAGCATCACTACCGCTCTCATACCTGCAGACTGCCTGGCTAGTTAAAAAATACATGAGACAGTTTAGGATCTTCTTATCCAACTTTTGGCAAACAGCTAGTAGCTAGTAAAAACAGGGTGGTGGTTTTACAGGGTTAATGCAATGGAGCAGGGTTCACCGGTTCCCTGTTTCCAGTCTTTGTGGTAAGCTAAGCTAACTGGCTGCTTGCTGTAGCTTCTCACACAAGTGCTATCAATCTTCAATCATCTAACTCTTGGCAAGAAAGTGATGTGTGTGTGTGTGTGTGTGTGTGTGTAGGTACAGTATGTATGTACGGGGCGATGCACGTGAACACAGCCTTTACATAAACAGAACTTTTCTTGTGGGAGTAGTCGGCGTTATTTTGTGGACTTAACAACTTCTTGACCTTCTGCCTCTGGATTTTCGGAGAGCAAGTGTGGGAGTGCAGATAAGAAATTCAGTGTGGATGAAATTGAATTGTACCTATACGAACTCCACAAATACAGTATCAGCCAATATATCAGCCAATATCAATCAGAGCTGTGTGAAGAAACAGTATTACTCATTCTGCCACCCTGATAGCCATGTGAAGGAAGAATTGCAGAGCCGTTCCCATGGCTGCCTGATGTACTCATTTGATTGGCGCTGTATAATTTTGCTGCGCTCCCTGATAACACGGTGCTGCGGTAGTAGGAGGTGATCAGCAAAACAGAGTCGCTCACCAGGGAGAGAGAAAGAAAATAAAGTACAAGATATGTGGGACCTTTCAGTGTTTAAAATTAGCATATGGTGTATGGAAAATTAGATACTTGTAATAATGATAGTAATAATTAATTATTCTCGTTACTTAGTTCACCAGTCTCATTTAGGAAATATTGTCTTAACTTAAATCTTTGTGAGCTTTCAACAGTATCTCACAGTCTTATGTGAACTTTGGTCATGAGATCACAATTATACTTTTGGAATCAAATAATTAACATTTTTGTATTATATCATCATGTGGCCTGTATCAAAGATTTGTGTGGAAGCATATTGCTTCTATCAGGACCCCCACTAGGAGTCACAATGTGATTAACAAGATAGGAAAACTGAAGAAACTACACAAAGTTATGTTATATTTTTCTGTAATATGCTCTTTTTTTTGTGGAAATTACTGGATAATTCTACTTCTTTACTCTTTCGGTTTCAATGATTAAAACTGGTAGATCTTTGCAACTACAGTACATATCTTTATTTCAAGGATCACAGGCCAAAAAATATAAGGATCTGCTCTCTTGTACGAGTTACGTGATTTCCTCAGTTTATTAGAAGTCGTGTTGTCATTTTTTTTACTCCAATCCATCTGCTGTATAGCCAAAAGTACATAATTTACTCCTATCCCTCTCAAGTTCGCTCTCTTGTTCTGTCTCTCTCTGTAGGAACTGTTCCCATGAGAAGGTGGTGTCCATGCTGCAAGGCAGTGGGGCGATGCCCACTCTGGTGGTGGAGGAGGGTCCTTCTGACTCAGACCAGACAGACCCAGAGGAGTCTCCAAACCTAGCCCCCACCACATTACCGCGCTCCAGGTCAGTACACACCAACAAACCTGACATTTGGATTTGACATTTCCAGCACTTCATAATCTGCAGGGACAAACCAGCTAACACTAGAAGCCTCTGTCAAGTGGCACTGCATTTTTTTGATTAAAGATGCAGAACAAAAGAGAAACGATACTTCCACTGTTCAGGTCTCCGGCCCTTAGCTCTCTGCAGTGGGTGGCAGAGATTCTTCCGCCGAGCATCAGAGTCCATGGGCGGACCTTCAGCCAGCAGCTAGAGCACCTGTTGACCATCCAGGAGAGATACACAGTCTGCAAGGCCCTGGAGACCTTCTTCCAGCACAGGTCAGTGGGATGGAGGGACAGATGGTCTATAAATGGAAGCATAAGGACAAACAATTTAGCTTTAAGGTCAGTTTTTAGCATTTGTGAAACTATCTTTGGGGTAGGACTCTATTACTAGCGAGCTTACATTGACTGTAAAATTAGCTGTTACCAGGAAGCTGGGCTTTTACCATACTCAATATATCAGGTTGCTAAGGGTGTTCTTAATGCAGGCGAAAGAGAGAGATGGAGAGAATGAATGATGGATGGTGAAAAGCAGTGAAGAAACAAATGCACATAGCTAAGCAGGACATTTATTCCTCCCAGTTGGCACTGATAACATTTCTTCAGGGATGCAGGGTTGACTTGAGAGAAAGAGATGGATGGATTATTAGCACTGCAGATGATGCAAAAATGTGATGCTGCAGGATTATAAGAAAAATACCAAGTGAATTCTACAGTATGTGCATACAGTATAAACACCCAAAGGCATAAATCCTACCACAACTGACATCCCTGTTATCCTCCCACCTTTACATAATCTTTTTTCATCCTGTATCTCATTCTCAGATATATGATTCATTACAGCACAGAATATAAATCACAGCTAAATCAATTATCCAGCAGTAAACAGGCGTTGGTTATATAAAGATGACTTGTATGTGCATGGATACATTGTGTGTGTGTGTGTTCACAGGAATGTGGACACTCTGATAGTGGACGTGTTTCCGGTGTTGGACACTCCGGCCAAACAGCTGATCTGGCAGTTCATCCACCAGCTACTGACCTACGACGAACAGGAGCGCTGCCAGAGCAAGCTCTCACGCTTCCTGGGTTTCAAGAGCAGTGGTGAGCCAAAAAACACAACATGGAAATGATCTGCATTCGGGAGAATACACATGCAGTATCAGCAGATAGTCAGTTGATTTTGATTTGAAAAAAACAACAACAACAGCAGAATCCTACTGATGAGTTCCTCATTAGCAGGTTAGATTTCTATTGTGATCTTGATCATTAAGAATAAGGACAAATAAAAACAAACAAAAAAAATTGAAATCAAATCAAAAATCAAGCTTTTATTATTAACCACCTGCTTTTTTTAAATAATTCATAAGCCACAAAGAAGCAGCTGTGCATCATTAGCTTGTGAATAACAACAGCGCAATGCTGAATGTGTGTGTGTTTTGCAGCGGTGTTGGAGCCTGATGTAGGTCCCGAGCACCACCGGCGGAGCAGCTCCATGCGCGTGACAGGGACTTCGTACCGCGGCTGCGTCCGAGAGAGGAGCTCTGATGACTGCATCATTGGGACTCACCTGGGAATGGGTACGCTGCACATAACAACAGCAAGAAGGTTTTACCGCCCTGTAGCACAAAATCACTGTAATCTCCACGGAGTGGGTTGGGTTGGGTTTATACCGAGGTTTTAATGGCTTTCCAGCTCCATTCTGGATCAAAAACTTCTCATCCAAATGGGAATTTAAGACATTCTCAACTGAACAGAGACTTCTTGCGCTGGGACATCAGAAAAAGTAAATTCACAAACGTTTATTATCTGTGTCTCTCAAAACCTCTCTGACTATTACTGCTGAGCTTCAAACATTGCTGACTATTACAGGAGTCTGTCTTGAATAACACTTGATCCCAGTCTTCAACCAATCACAGATGTGTAGCCCAACCTAACGTAAAAAGAGTCTACTGCCACACTCTGAGGCCGAGCTTAGGCACAGCAGTGCTCCAAGCTAAATGCTAACATCTGCGTGCTAAATTTTGACCTGATGGTGGCGCTAGATGAAAAGTCCGGGGATCAAAGTTATTACAGTTCCTCCTTTGGAGACCATAAATGTGTGTACCAACAGTTGTCAATATATTTCACTGGCGCTACTAGTAGAGTCAAGGGATCACCAAAGTCATTAGGGCTCATCCTTTGGCATTATAGGATTATTAATTTTCATGGCCATTTATCCAATAGTTTCTAAGATATTTCAACCAACAGATGGGACGTTGCTGTCCCACTAGCAGTGCCACAGGTTGGCTAAAAATATTTGCCATTGAATATAGATTATTTTTCCATTGTTACTCCTAGCAATGAAACTGCAGGGAGTTATCACTCAAAGCTGCAGCTCCCCTTTGCTTTACTGAAGTTTATAGTTTATAGTTCCAGCTCATTGTTTAGCTGTATTTTGGATCACTCTCACAGCTCTGAATATGTGTCGTTTTTAGCACACTACCTTCTCAACACCGCACAGCAGATAGACACATATAGTGGTGAACATAGTGGAGCATGTAGCAGCTAAAGAGCCAGATATTTTCCTCAGGTAGAGGACATGCTGCACTTAATCAGACAGAAACACAACTAAATGCAAATGTTGCTTAAACTGCTGGATGTGTAAATAAACTATTATTTGCTAACAGGTTTCTGATATCAATTTCAAAGGTTTAACAACTGTAAAGGGAGTGTTATTTTTGTTTTTTGTTTTTTTTATGAAGGAGAATGTATATATTCTTTTAAATCCCCTCATTAATAACTAGTATTCAGTATTGTTGCTTCTTTTTAGGTTGGACCCAAAAAGAAGCAATAATCCTGGAAAGAGGTAGAGACAGTAAATGAGCTTCCGTCAGCAGTTACTGTACTATTAATATTCCCTTGAGCAAGGCATGTAACCCCCAGTCGCTCCAGTTGAACTGCTCAGAGCTCAGTAATAAGGCTGTATTTGCACTGGTCAGCTCCCAGGCGGGAATGTGTGTAATTGTTAGACAAAGTCGTGTTCTCAGCAAATCCTTTGTGGATACTTCAAGCTTACATAAGATAAAAAATGCCATCACCAGTTCATACATGAACTCCATATCTCAGCTGTCTTTGCTTTCGATTACGTCCCCAAACTATCAGTTTGGAAACACATACAGTGTTTATTTCCAGCTGAGGTCGTTTGAGATGTCAGTTTTTTTTCATTCGTGGTTTCCCCTGTTTTCCATCGCCATTGCTAACTCCTGCTCCAGGAGCCAAGCTTTTGCCTTTTGCTCCTCCACGCTCTTCTGCTCTGCTCCATCCTCTCTCCTCTCCTGGCTGGGGGTTGGATAGAAGGAGGAGGCTTACTTCCATGTGTCACTGTTCATGCTTTATTGTGCTTTAGGAATTCATGTGGATGAATCTGGGAGCCAGGAGGAGAGGCAGTCAGGAGATGGGACCTCCTTCCCCGAATCCCCTGACCTCAATCATGTAGGTATAACTGCAGCTTTTCGCCGCCTAGCTGCTCAGCAACTGGCACAATGACTGCAGGTTATGTTATGTGTGCCCTGGGCTGACATTATTTGAAGGTCTGCTTGTAATTACTGCAATTCAACAAATGGTATCAAATTGGATTTGTGGCTGCTGTTACCCTGCCGTCTTCAGATTTCTTTAAAGCGGCAGACCTTCAAAGCCAATGTGTTGTGTGCTAACCAGCTGATCATGCCCTCCACCCGTAGATGACAGGTGTGTACACGGAGCTGGAGAACGTGTACGCAGGGAAGAGTGTGTCGCCACTGCAGTGTGGCTCCTCAGCAGAGCCCGAGGGCCCGGGACAGACTGAGGCCTACGGGCGCTCTCTCTCCCCCCTCACACTCCCGCCTCTCACAGGTACTCTGGGGCTGACATATAGGCCCAAACACTCAATTACATGCACACAAACAATGTGCACATGCTTTCATCAGTGGTTCACAACCGTGTGCCGTTTAGGCTTGATGCATTTGCAGAGTGAATTAGTGAGATGTGATTTTTGGCAGGAATGACAGTGTATAACTTTGGGCCTGGATGGCACACGATTGATGACATGTTCATGTCACATTAGATTTGCTGTAAATACAAGCTGCTAAATTGGGAAAAGTGTTACAGGTGCAAACATTGCATTACACCCACTGACAAAAAATGCAACATATATTAGCAACATTCAAAGGAATTAAGTCCATGTTGCTTTACTTTAAATACTTAAATCAGCAGCCTTGTGTTTATGCTTGATTTAACATTCATACCATCAGTTTGGATGTTTAAACAAATTGTTTGTACCAATCTGAAGTGAACATGACATGAGAACCACCGATTTTTGAATGTGTTTAAGTTAAAACTCATTCAAATTCTGCAGTATATACCTGCATATAAGCCTGCAGTTTATCCTTGTGTTTCCATGGTAACCTCTCAGAAGAAAGGCTACAACATGACCACGAATGTCACACATAATCTCTTGAGGGAACAAGTAGCATAGTATTTGAAACAAATGTAAACATCTGCAGCGTGAGCATCAAACACACGCTGACGGCAGCCAATTTTCCTTCTTTACAGGTAATCGTAAATCTGGCCTGACCCTCTCCTGGAAAGAGCCTCTCCCCACTCCTGTGTATGAGATCCACCACCAGAGCAGTGTGGACTCCAACCCCTACGTCAGCCTGGAAAGCCCCCCCGCCTCCCCTCAGCACTCGGATGGTGGCCCCAACACGCTGACCCGCCGCAAGAAGCTGTTCACATTTTCCCGCCCGCCTCGCAGCCGGGACACAGACAAGTTCCTGGACGCTCTGAGCGAGCAGCTGGGCCACCGGGTGACTCTGGTGGATGACTTCGTACCCGGGGAGAACGACTATGAGGAGGTGAGGAAGACCCGCCTCCGTTCTACTGCATCATCAACTATATGCATATACAGAGAGTACATGCTTTGTTTTTATATTTAGAACTTGTGTTAGGAACTAGTGTATAGTATAATGAGTATAATGTTATTGTAGAGTGTAACATTTTAATATCTTGTTATTCCTTGCTCCATCATACTGTGAATTATGGGGGCAACTTCGGTCATTCCTGTCACTGAACTGGCGACTGTAAGAGTTAGCAGTCTTGGAGCTTTTCTTGTGAAATGAATAATGTGGGAACACAACAAACTTTACACAGGATAATGTGATTATACTTCTGCTTCTTACTGCCAACCTGAAGAAGTGGCTTTGGATAGCTGTAACCAACAAGGACAAGTTGCACGTGCCAATAATCAAACTAACTGAATTTGTAGCTTAAACAAGAGAGGATGATTTTAGTCATGTTGTGTCTCTCCTATAGCTTTTTAGATTTTTCATCTCTACAACATTGGTAGCAAAGGAATCAAACCGTAGCTAAATATTCTACTGAACGTTACAGAGGCCACATCTTTACGTTGTCCTCTCATCCCTCTGTAGTAGAAAGAAGAGGTATCATCACATTATCCCGATCAAGGGGTAACAGACTGTGTTCCCACAACAGTTTGCGAATAGGGAAGACTGCTAACTCTCGCAGGTTCAGTGAAAGGAATAACCAGAGGTTTCTTCCATCAGTCATGGAAGGTATCATGAGGCTAGAATAATGTGGACGATAATTATTTCTATTTTCAAGTTACATTTAAAATGTAAAAAAAAAAATGTTAAAATTAATTGTGACACCCTAGTACAATAGCTGTAAACAGTTGAGATTTTGAATAAAATGAATGGCAGGCTCTATCTCCAGTCATACTTGTATTTTGTACCTTCACTGCCATAAACTTTAAAAATCCTAAATATTGTTTGAGCCAAAGAACAATGTCTTCACTGAACTGTAAGCTATTGTTTGTTCATGGTAATTATTCTAATGTCTCATAGTAACTGTTTTACTCCTTTTATAAAGCTAAAATATTCCATGTAGCAACATTTACAGGCAGCCTTACTGTTGTGCATTTGCTTATTATCAAGTATATAATAATAATAAGCAAATTCACATTTGACTAAAGTAATTGTTGTAGTGTTGCATGTTTACATTAGAGCAGCTCTAATGTACGCTACAATGAACACTTGTGTCACATGAACAGATATATCAAGGTGGTTGTCATGGTTTCAGAAGAAGAGGGGTGCCTGTAAGTAAACATGATACTCAGTAGAGTCTAATTTTATCTGCCTATTAGTAGAAATCTAATGTTATAATGAGGTGCTGGCTGACGTTAAACCATCAAACAAACGTAGCTGTCTTACGTCTTTTTAAGGGTGGTTTAGTTGTCTGGGAAATGGGGAAAGCAGCATATTTACATAATTCACTGGGTTGCACGTACTTTAAAAGTGATCTTTTTAGTCTATTGTAGAGTCAACGTCTAATTAGTAGAAGTGCATGTGTTTTACAATCAGCAGGTTGTTTGATTTTGTTGCTTTTTATGGCTGCTATTCTGCTCCACAAGTAGGTAAATGCCAGATGCAGATTGATAAGCGAGCTTATAAAGAGAGTATATATAATATAGACTATGTGGAGGTGGTGATTATCAGGTCTGACGCTGCTCCTCTCCTCCCTTCAGATGAGTTTCCAGGAGGACCAGGACATGGGCTTCATGCCCCGGCAGCTCAGCAGTGGCAGCAGTGAGGATCACAGTAGCAGCGACGAGGCCTCCTCTCCCTCCTACTCTTCAGGATCTGAACCCATCCCACCGCCTCCCACCCAGAGCCCCCCTCCTCCCCCGCCTTTCCAGTCTCTTATACCGCCTCCTGTTCAATTCACTGACCCCCTGCCGCCAGTCCGCTTCTCCCCTGAGCACGTCCCCCGCAGCCGGATGCCCTTCCAGCCCCACCACCCCATCATCCCTCCTCCCCCTCCCCCTCCGAGGACCCTCCTGTCCAGCCGCTCGCCTCTACACAAAGTGCTCCCCACTAGAGAAGAAGCAGAGAAAACTCACCAGCGCTTCCAGACCACCTCCACCCGCCTCTCGCACATCCACACCACCATGGTCTCCACAACCCTGCGCTCCTCCCAGCCGTCCCGCCCCAGCTACCTTCCCCGGCAGCTCAGCCAGCCCCAGCCCGTCCACCAGCCGTCCCCGCAGCCCTCCCCTCAGCCGCTGAGACCGAGCCAGCTCGTACTCCAGAGGCACCACCAGCTCCACCACCAACACAGCTACCAGGGCTCGCTGCCGCCATCCCTGCAGGATCACAGCCCGTCCCAGTGTCCGAACCAAGGCCCCACGCTGCTCTCCCAGCCTCCGGCCTCTCACTCCACCCTCCCCAGTCACACTAAGACCTATGAAACCCCACGGCAGGAACGCCAGTCGCAACAGGTAACGCCTGCATTCACAGTAGTTTTTAAAACACGATGAGGGGTGTAAAATAAACACTTTTTTTTCTACCTGGAATACACAACACAAATAGCATAGATATAAGCCAGTGCAGCAGTGCCACAGCAAAGAGCGCTTAGCAACAGAAGTGTCATAGACAAAATCAAGTATTGGCATCATGAAAGCTAATACTTAAAAACTCTGCTGCTATATTTGGCATCACACAGTATGTGAATGCAAATGGAGGGCCACAAGACTGACAGTACAAAAACCATACTGTGTGTTTTGACAGTTTACCCACTCTTTGCTTCCTTCACACATTTCAAGAGAACATAATAAAATCACGATAAAAGGGAAAATGGAAATCAAAGGAAACGTGTTAGAAAACGATGGTAGAGCTCAATCAAACAACAGATTCTGCTTAAACGTCAGTGTGCCATATTGAGTGTGATCATAAGGTTGGTTGTCTGTAGTGTACTCATTAGTGCTTTGTATCCCCTGAGGGGGTTTTGGCATGTATGCGGGGAGATGATTCAAACACTGGAGATTGAATTGAAAAAGCTCCCTTAGGGAAATCTTTATTTGTTTGCTGCTGTTTATTTACTATGCAAGAACTTACTGATCAAAATATCATTAAAAAAAAAAAAAAAACATTCCTTGATCTCTAAGGCACCGCCGCCCCCACCTCCACCCCTGCCCCCACCCTGCGACCCGCCTCCGCTGCCCAAGCCAGGCCACCACTCCTCGGACTCCAACCACATGAGCGTGAAGAGGCTGCGCTGGGAGCAGGTGGAGAACTCCGAGGGAACCATATGGGGTCAGGTGAGCGGCGAACTTTTACTCCATTACATTAGTTTTAGATAAAGCACGCATGACTAAAATATCGAGTATCTCTCATACAGTAAATACAGTAAACAACAACTTTACTTGCAAATCTTCCCACCTTGGCTGTGAATGTTCTCACTCCTCCTACATTCCTGGAAAGATCTACTCATCTACTCTGTTGTGTCTCTGATGAGTCACTGCAGCGTCGAAGCAAAAAAAACCTTTGTTTTTGTAAACAGAATACACGGTGGATCTCATCCTCTCACATCTACTACAATGTTTGACTCTTTGGTCCCGCTTTACAACCTTGTCAGACGTGGATAAAGTCGAATATCTGTGTATATAAAAATAATTTTCTAGACAGCTACTTCTAGGTTACAAAGCCTTGGCTGTGTCTATGGAGAGTACAGTGTGTATGTCCTTCTCTATGTTTAGCTCGGAGAGGATTCAGACTATGACAAGCTCACTGACATGGTGAAGTACTTGGACCTTGATCTGCACTTTGGTACTCAACGCAGATCCAGTAAGTAGTTGTATACTTTTTGATCAGCCTTCATCATACTGCATATTACATCATGCTTAATGTCATAGAGTGATAATATTCCATTAAATTACGTATTAGAGGGCTAGTTTATAGTAAAAGTTCATCCATGTGTTTGACCTCTCCTGTTCTGTTTGTACCTTCGCAGTTATGATGTTCTCCATAAGCTGTTTTGGAGCTGCTCCATTCACCTGTTCATCAAATCCATTCTCCATAAGGCACCATCCCCCTCCCCCCACTCTTCTCCTGCTCATTAATAACACAGCTCTGCCAGAGGAAAATCACACCTTACTATTTTATTTATTTATTTTTATCAGCAACCCAAATGCCAGAGCTGTGTTATTATCCCATCCACCTGCCACATGTAGCCACAGTGTATGTGTGTGTCTGTGTGTCTGTGTGTCTGTGTGTGTGTGTGTGTGTGTGTGTGTGTGTGTGTTGTGTGTTGACCCCCGGTGCCTGGAGAACACATCTTTACACTGTTTGTTGAAATTATCAGTCTCTCCTCCAGAGCCAGCCTTCTTGCCAGAGAACTTTAAAAAGAAAGACGTGGTGGAGATTCTGTCTCATAAGAAAGCCTACAACGCCTGTGAGTACCACAAAAACACGGCTGCAGGTCGCACACACACCTGACAGGTCGAGGCTCTAGTATGTGAGACTACAGGGAAATAACATACTTTCACAACATAGTTTTAATTGGCAAAACTCCTAATGTGCACAATATCAGGCTTATAATAGCCTGAAAGAACAGACGTAGGCTAGCTAAGACTAGCATCTTTTTGGTACTACAGAAACCGTGTTTTGACAGTTTACCCACTCTTTGCTTCCTTCACACATTTCAAGAGAACATAATAAAATCACGATAAAAGGGAAAATAGAAATCAAAGGAAACGTTTTAGAAAGCGACGGTAGATCTCAATCAAACAACAGATTCTGCTTAAACGTCGGTGTGCCATATTGAGTGTGATCATAAGGTTGGTTCTCTTTAGTCTATAAACCACTCATTAGTTTTTTGGTACTGGTGAAGACCGGACCATTTCAGACACTGCATGGCAAGAATATATGACTCTAGAATCACCTAATCGGAAACACAGCGACCATTGTAACAGACAAAAATATTGTGTAGTCTGAACCCAGAATAATACAACATAGAAACGCGGTTTGCAAAACACTTAACACAAGTTCAAACCCTGAAGTGTCAGATCTGCTCACCATCTCAATGAAAGGACAACAGTTGTCCAGCTTTGTCACGCTAATGGGAGGTTCCATCAGACTGTAGTGCAGCCTGTCGGGAGAACAGTGGTGTCTCTTATGCGTTGAGAGTGAGACTATTTTATGTCAGTTTGTAGCTGGAAAATGTGCGAACATTAAGCAGTTTTGTGTTCGTGTCACACTCAAAGGTCATGGCATCACTGCAGTGCTGATACATTATAGAGGGGTGATGTGGATGAAAAACAGCTGATCTGAATGGCAACCAGCAGTAAACAGACTAAAGAACTGAATTATATTCATTATATTGTTAGTTTTGTTAATCGGTAAATGACTGCAGGTTTGAATTTAAGATGTGATGTGCTGTGTTGAAAAAGAAGGTTGTTTGTTGTTTGGTTGTGGTGTAAATTTTAACATTGTTATTTTCTATTTTATTTCTGTTTCATTTTGTGTATGATATATTTATATTAGTCATAGCAGGGCCCCATTTTTCTAAACTGACTTAACTAATTCAGACCAACATGCTGTTATCAGGCTAAAATAATCCTGGTACTTCTCATCCAGCTAATTTGGTTCTTTGAAAAAAACCTGAGGATTGATTTGTTAATCCTGGATGAAGTTATCATGATAACAGTGCGCTCTTATTTTGAAATGAAGGTAAAATAAGTTGAAAGATTCATGGAAGTCTCATTTTATGTGTTTCTGCATGGTTACTGGTATTATTTTGTTTAATTACATTATATAAAGGGTTTTGAGAACACAACACTGAAACATGCATTTACTGTTGCAAAATGGAAACACCATTACTATTAATACTGTGGATGGGTTACCTTTATTGTGAAAGAAGGAATTTTTTTTTTGCTATTACACCCATATTATATATTTTTTTAATTTACTGTTACCCGCTTTATATTGGGACTCGTGACACCACAGAAACACAGAAATATGAATAATACACAGTTACACATCATCAGAGGGGGGTGAAAGCTTTTATCTGCAGTCGGGAACACAGCGACCCTCTTTGCAATGTGAAAATAACAGACTTAATTCCTCCTCCTCCTCTCTGCAGCCATCCTCATCGCCCATCTGAAGCTCTCCACCGCCGAGCTGCGTCAGGTCTTGATGAACATGACCACGGACAGGCTGGAGCCCGCTCACATCAAGCAGCTGCTGCTCTACGCTCCGGACGACGAAGAGGTCAAACAGTACGAGCAGTTTGACCAGGACCCGGCCAAACTGAGCGAGCCCGACCAGTTCATCTTCCAGGTACAGCCACAGAAAAAAAGTCCAAGGCAGGAGGCAAGGTTTTTAAAAGTGAGATGGAAGGATTTGAGTAGAATTGATGTTTTGTCGTTTGAACGTTTCAGATGCTGATGGTGCCTGAGTATAAGACCCGTCTGCGGAGCCTCCACTTCAAGACGACCCTGCAGGAGAGGACGGAGGAGATGAAGGTTGCATACGATTACATCTACAAGGCGTCAGTGGAGCTGAAGAGCAGCAAGAAACTGGCCAAAATCCTGGAGGTAAATATCCAGAGTGGCGAAAATGAGTGAGTTAATGAGTGTAAATCATGGTTGTTAAGTGCCTTTTTGTTTGCCCACAGTTTGTACTCGCAATGGGGAATTACCTGAACAATGGCCAGCCCAAGAGCAACAAGACAACCAGTTTTAAGATCAACTTCCTAACTGAGGTACTGCCTTGACACCTACGCTTCATCCACGTTACGTTCGTCTCAGTTTTCGCTTTTTAATCATTCACTCTATCCCTCTGTCTTCCAGCTAAGCACGACCAAAACAGTAGACGGGAAATCCACCTTCCTTCACATTCTGGCCAAGTCTCTGTGCCAACACTTCCCCGAGCTGCTCAACTTTTCCAGAGACCTTACAAATGTGCCTCTGGCAGCCAAGGGTACGGTGATGTTACAGCAGCACAGCTCTTTAACTCCGCGTTCCCTTCTGGAAATTCTTTAGTTGCCGAATGTAGTCGCTCCATCCTGTGAAATGTACACGGTGTGCTGGATGTCCCCGCAGGGCCGGCAGACTTTACTAAAAGCATCTCATTTAAAGTAGATTTATGCTGTGTTTATTCAAATCGCTCTTCTAATGTACGTTTTTTAAAATAACCCAAGATAATGTTTTGCATATTTTAATTTGATACTGTAAAACTACTGGTTGTTAATACTCTGATTTGCACATTTCCGTGCTGCTGTTTTACAATCTTTTGACCACGTACGCGTGTTTAATAACTGCTACTGTTTTGGGAACTCATCTCCTCATATTTCCATGTACCTTGTTCAGTGAACCAGAAGGCTATCACTGCAGAGCTGAGTGATCTTCACACCACCATCCAGGACATCAGGACGGCCTGCATGAAGATCCAACCCACCTCTGAGGACCACTTCGCCTCCGTCATGAGCGTACGCTAACAGTTTTAAGTGTTTAATAAGCATTTTTGGGGGTTTTTATCTGTTTTGGTGTGAGTTGCCCCTTCCAGAAGCCACGACTGGGTTACTCCAAGATAATCCACAGACATTGTTGTGAGCAGTTTCATGTAGGAACGGTTTTCCTTTCTGGTGTGCCTCTTTAATGTGCAACCTTTTGCACCTACAGAGCTTTTTGGAGAACAGCCACCCTGCGATCCAGTCACTGGAGTCCCTGCAGACCCGAGCAATGGAGGAGTTCTCCAAGGTGGCCTCCTACTTCGGAGAGGACAGCAAGTCCACCAGAACAGAGGCCTTCTTCGGCATCTTTGCGGAGTTCATCTCCAAGTTTGAGGTGAGCCCAGCACTGTAGTGTTCTCTTCAGCTGTGTGGAGAGAACCTGTTAGGATAAATTTGACTTGTTCCTGAAGGTGAGCAGCTCATATTTTGATATATAGTGCAGCTATATGGTTTCAGCTGGTCCTCTCACAGACTGACAGCAGCCTGCAGCTATGAAGTGATTAAGCTGCAAAGTGCTGCTGTCTGTGGAATAACCAAATGTGCTCTGAATCTGAAAATAATATGGTGAAATAAGCATAAATCAGATGAGATTATGGGTTTTGTCTTGCAGAGAGCTCTCAGTGAGACCCAGACTCCAGAAAACCCCAGAAGCCCCAGACTGTCTTCCCCTCTGGCCTGGTAGAAGCAAGAAATGCGGGCGGATGTGTCGGGCCAAAACCGACAGGCTGGTCGGCTCCATTTTCACTCTGCTCTCCACAACCAAAGTGCCAAGATCACACACAGAGACACTCAAACCAACGGGAACAGAGACCACGTCATCTATAGCAAAACAGAATGGATTTACACTGTATCTATCTGTAGGTAACCACAACAGTTGATGAGTGCCCACGTGTGCGCATTGCTGTTATTTCAGGTGCTGGGTAGAGCAGGAACATTCAGGTGTCCGCAGGTCAACAGGAACTCACCGCACACTGACGACTCAAACCAGTCTTTTACATTATTTACATCTCCTTTTAATACACATTACACAGACACATTAGAGGAAGCATCCATGTACATTTGACTGCATCTCGATTGCTACATTAAAATGAGACGTAAGTAATGAAAACAACTGGTCTGAATATTTACAGATTACTCACTATGTTTAATATATGACTATATAAAGTTTATATTTTCTATCAGATCATATTTGAAAATTGTAAAGATTAAGCATAGATGTAGGCTGATGACAGTTATCTGGAATCAAGGTGATTCACAAGTGTAGTTTAGTTTTTAGAGCCAGGCGGGGATGCTGGGAGTATTTGATCGGACTGTTCGTACAGTGTTGCACTCACTGCCTCCCATACAGCCCGATTTGATTTGAAAATATTAGATATTGCAGGTTTGTTTTCCAGCATTATGTATCCACATTGCTGATCTAGACTTACAGATGTGGTCATTCTCATCTAACCTACTGTGAATTTAAAAGGCATCTATTATGGGGATTATAATAACATTTAAAAAACTTACAGTTAAAAGTCCAAGTCATCCACACCCAGCTCTGGTTCACTGTGGTCCTTTGCAGTAGACGGCATATTACATCTAATTTACTACTTCATTACTACATACACGTCATTTACTATGGAAGAAAAACAAGGTCATAAAGATTTACATTATTAAATAACGGAATACTTAATTGTGAATCTTAACCACATCTGATTTTTACTATTACAATTAAAATGTAATTTATAACATTGAAATATCAAATATATCTATTTGAATTTGAATGGTTTGATTTACCCTTTTTCAGTTGGTAGTTTTCAAGTTGTGCAATTTCAAAAAGTCGATTTGAAGTTTCCTTTTTTATGGTTCACCAATTAAGTAGAAAATGAATTCATCCAATATTCACAATCTGTTTTCAAGTTACTCATGTAGCTGGTTATTTTCTGATCAAAAGTCAGGTTATTTAAATCGTATTGGTGAAATTCAGATACCAAATTCAAGATAAAAAATGTAACATAAGCAAAGAAGCCTTTAAGGCCCGCTGTCCTATCAGGTTATAGTCATAGTTCTTAGTTAGTCTTGTGATCCAAGAAATACAAGTTCAGATAACTGGAAACCGCACACAACTACATTTTATATCTGAGTTGTTGGACTTGAAAAGAAAGTTTATTTATTAATTTTCAAAAAAGGGAAATTCAAACCAAATAAATGGTAATATAGATGGTAATATTTCAGTGGTATTTAAAGTTAGCATTCTGTATTCATTTAAATTTCACAATTATGTATTAAGTTGCTTAAATTTAAATTATTTTGCCCTTACTTGGCTTCCATAATTTTCAGCATAGTCTGTTGCTTTTAGCCGACAGTGAGACATGTCCATAGAAAAATGGCATTAGCTACCTTACTGCTAGTAAACCAGTGGGCGGTCAGGGTTAACCTTAGATTCAGCTCCCTATACAAATGTGATCAATACATTGTTTTGCTTTAGTGGCTGAGACATGAGGTCATCCACCTTTACCTTTTTTTCCCCCTGATCGTAAACAGCCACTGACATCAGGCCAGTTTACACCATATGAACTCTGTAGCCTCTGAAGGGGCTCTCAGCCATTCAGCATCAGCATTGTGATTCTTCTGCCTGTGTGGACTTCATTCAATAACACACAATTATTTATTTGCAAAACATCATTCAGATGAACAATGTGACACATTTCAAAGGGCGGTAACACTGACTGCATCAGCACATGCTGACATTTGGCTCAAAAATCATCCATTTTAGAGAATGTGTGGGTGGAACAGCACATCTTTTCCAACAATTAGTGTCTTCTCTTTGTCGGTGCAGAAAGATAAGAGGCAGGTTTAATCTGAAAAGGCTGAGCTGTGTGCGTCTGGCAGAGAGGACGACTAATAGTTCTGCACTTTGTCGAGTGTTTCCGGAGTATTGTGTACACAGACCTGTTCAAACAAGTGGGTGGCTGCTAAATGAATGAACGTCAAACGCATGTGGAAGAAAAAAAAAAACACCCTACTGTAAATGGTCATTTCCTGCTCTTCTGGTCGTCATGGTGATCTCATGACTCATGTACTAGACTACAGTACAGTGTACCTGTAGCTGTGTTGTATTTATGTCGAACTATTGTTGAGATTGTAAATTGACAGTTTTTGCTATGCACTGCTCATCATTTTGTATCGTATGCTCGTGTGTCCTCCAAGTCCTAGTTTATTTTCTTATTCAAGAGTGTCATCAGGAAATCACCATTTTCTATATTCTTTATGCGCAGCTTTAGTCAGGCCTACGAGGCGACTGTGATCTCGTAAAAATGCAATCCTAGCTGCTACTAGTGTAGTAACAGTGTTTCTTGTCCAAATCAATTGCATGTTGGTGCAGTTAATGTATTAAGATGTGCAGCTGGTAGCATTTACCCTCTTTGGATATTTAAGTTTAAAATAAATACATTTCTGTTAGTCTAGTTAGGTTTATTTATTGATTGCCTCCAAGTTTCCCTTTTGTAACCGTTTTATATGTTTTCATGGGAAGTTGCTCATGTTTTGTGATTGTTTGACCTTTCACGTTTTGTTCAATGCTTTCAACTGTGATATGTTTTTGATCTATAAAAATATCATGCTTGAAAGTTATAACTGCCCTCCTTTATCTGTGCCTCACGATGAATGGTCTCTAGAGACTTCTGGTACACAGTTTGTGGTATTCATTCAATTACAGCGACTTTATAAATTCATTTGGGTTTTTATTTCTCTAAAGTTTACAACCCTAAATATTCCTTCTGTACTGTATATACCAGATTATTTTAGGATCTTGAGTTGACAGATGATCTAATCCTTTAATGTGTCCAATCATAAGAGAAATGAGTCAGTCAGCTCTTTCACACTCAGTGTTATGTCACAGTGTACACAAAAATATAAACCATGAGTAGATTTAAATAGTTTCTTCATATACTTTATTTTCTTTGGAGGGGGTATAACCAAGCATTCATATTACATGTTTTTATTCCATATTTAAGCTCACCAGACGGCATACATACAAAAACTATGGAGCTTAAAAATGCAGCATTATCATTTCTAGTTTAATGGCATTTGTTCGTCTTGAAGAGCCACCGAGCTCTCTTGATGCACAGGGATAAGGCAGCGAGGTACAGGAGCGAAGAGAGAAAAGGAAGGGATTATAATGCTCGATTGGCTCTGAAATACAAAAACTTGTTTTCAGGAGCAACTGCAGCTTCCAAGACTTTCTCCATTGGTACCATATTGGGTCTCACATCCAAAAAGCCAAAAAAGCAAAGCTTACACAAAAAATACAACAAAGCACTGTTTTATCTTCTGACCTGGCAAAAATAAAAAAATCTAACACCACATCACTACTGAGGTTTCACAGCGCTGTGTGCTCAGCTCAGTGGGAAAGACTGAAAAAAAAATAAAAAAATCCTCTAAACCAGTTCACTAGGAAACCACTCATTGGCCAAGTGCAACATCAGCGGTTAATGCGTCTTTCTGTTCAGGCTACTAAGAATTATCCTTTCACTACATTCACTCACACACAGCCCGGTGCTTGTTGCTATTCCCCCGGTAAACACCAGAGAAAAACACAAAAGATCGATGGGAAAAAAAAACAGAAAGACAAAATACTGACTGTGTTCAGGCTGGGAGGGCGGTTAACCCTGCTACTTCTGCTCAGAAAACCCAAAGAAATCAACCGAAAACACATTTAAATACACATCTTCTGTGGAACAATACAGAACCCATACAAGACTTCTATCGCAGAGGGTCCGATCACCTTCCTTACATCCCTGAAACATACGTGTTGCCAAGACAGCTTCTTGGAAATACTGTAGAACTAGGGGCCAATATATCCTCCGTACAGTAAATATATAATTCTTATTATGTGGTCCTGGGAGGAACCGATAAGGCATGATTTACATTTAAAGACTGCATTAATTATGTCAAGCCACAGGGAATGTGTGTTGTGAAATCGGTAAATAAATACAGGAGCGAGGGGGGGAAGAAAAGGATGGGGTTTCAATACAAAAAAAAGGGGTAAATCAAGTGTTTGAGACGACTGGAAACCTGCAGTCACCAGCTACACTTTAAGCAACAGTTTTGGTTTCTACTCCTACCTGCTGACCCCCCCCCCCCTCCCCTCCCGTGCTGTAGAAATACCCTTCTTATTTCACTTCTTGTTTTAAGACCATTTTTCAACATTAAAAAATACAAAAACACCTCACACCAAATTCCAAACAAGTCTCATCAGTCCGTATTTTTAACAACAGATTTTGGCGTTTCTACCCCCCCCAACCCAACCCCTTCCTCAGTCAGTACCCATGCTTCATATTGCGATGAATCATCATTAACACAGTTGTCTGATGGTGTTACTGGTGACTCTGTGGTCCTCAGCTGTTTGTTGTTGATTGTCTGGAGCTTGATCTGTAGGGAGCGCAGTATAAAGAGGTGTGTGTGTGTGTGTGTGTTGCAGTGTAGAGGCTTTGTGTCACAAGTCTTCTCATGACCACATGTGGCGCCATCATGGAGGTCAAGAGGACTCTCTGTGAGTAAATAATGATTGCTAACAGCTAGACTGAGAGTGAGAGACACCTGAAGAAGACTGTGGCGGTGGGGCTGAAGGTCAGTTTACATTCATTATAAGTCAAAGGAAATGGTCCAATACAGTGATTCTTTACTCAATTAATCAACTGGTCAATAAAATGTCCAAAATAGTGAAAAATGCCAGGTTTATAAATTAAACTTGCTTGTTTTTTTGGTGTTTTAACCGGTAATCGAAACTGTTTCTGATTATGATTACTGGACTTTCAGCTCTAACTATGACATATTACAGGTCATCTTACATATATAATATAAAGATAATCTAAATTATGGATGTTTTTTTGACTTTGGAATCCAACTAACTGTAGTAGCTGCTACAAATGCTAGCAACTGCCACATACATTAGTTAGCATGTGATTGAAAGTGTGTACAGCAAATACGTTTGTATCTCGGTTTAAATGCTGAGAATGAAATGCAATTGGGGAAATGAGCAACACGCGTTAACTTTGTCGAGTCAATTTAGTTGCAAACGCAGTCTACCATTACAGCCATTGTTTACCAAGAGCTGTGGACCTCCATCATGGCTGCCAGAAGGTGCGTTATGTCACATTGAAGTCCTTCATACAGGCTGGACTGGGAGAAGATGACAGCAGAGGTTTTATTCTCTCTGAGGCGGGCTGCAGACGCGGGCTGGGACGAAAAACACGAGCAGACTAAACGAGGTGTGTGAATGAATGACGGGAGGAGATGCGTGGGGGGGGTTACTGGACCAGAGCGCGTCGTCATCTCCTCCTTATAGGACAGTGCTCTCGGTGTCCAGGTCATAGTCTTTGGGAGGAGGCGGGGAGGAGGAGGAGGAGGTGGTCACTGGCTGCTGGTCTACAGCGAACTCAGGGACCAAAGCTCGACTCAGCCCTTTGAAAGACATCGCCGGGTCTGGAGAGCAAGACAGAGGGGGGGGGGGGGAGAAAAGTCACCTTGTGTAGACAGTGAAGGGCAAATAACAACAATCATAAACATGTTTGTAAAGCTGCACTAGAATGATGTTACACAAGAATCTTTAAAGGAAAATAAATATGATCAAACTAGAAAAGATCATTTCAGTGACTGTTTGTGTTAGTGAGTTAATGTGTTAGTCGTGCATGCAGACATTCACACAGAACACTGCATAAACATCCTACAAAGATAAATACACCATTTAAGCCCACATTATATGAACAGCGGCCATAATCACAAACATGCGCGGCTCCATCCCGGAGTATGAAAACATTTAAAGCTGTTACAATTATGCCATGCAGTGCAGCGGTGTCAGATTTTCCATAAGCTTAAACAGCAGCGGGGGCTCCGTCACGGTGAACCTTTGAACAGCAGGTGGCGGTGTTCGCCCAGAGACCGTGAGCAGCAAGACAGCAAGCAGTCAAAGTGGACGGAAAATGTGAAGTGTGCTGAACCAATTTTGAATTCATTTCATCATTGAGACCAGAACCGTAGAGAAAATGGGGCTGGAAATCCCCCAATGTTCGTAGCTCAGAGTCTGAATGTATGTTAGAGACGAGCTGATTGTACGTGTGATCCTCCACTGGGATATTAGTGACAGGACTAGAACATTCAAGACACAGACATGCATGTCAGAGTTACACATGCTTGATACACAGACACAACTTAAAACACCTGCAATAACAAACAATATCGATGCTTCACCTTTTAAAAAAAAATAAACAGAACAAAAACTGAATTTACCCGCTGACAGTTGAGGGTTTGAAAATGACCGCAGCCTTCAACCAATCAGTTTCAAACCCTTACATTACATTTCAGTGGATGTGAATGAGCATGAGTGACTCATGATAAATCATAGCCCTGATGGATGGTGTGTCACACATTATATACAGTACATATGGTGGCCTTTTATCATCAAACTGAAGCACCCATTTCTGACATTTAATATGAAGGTTCTGTGTAAGATTGAAAACAGGAACCCACTGGAGGGAACCATAAGCTGACAGTGTGCAGGAAGATGGAACATCTAAATGGGTTTTCACAGTCATCTTATTACACCCTCTTCTTCTGCAGTAGTTTAATGGCACCAGAATGGACAATTAGCAGCACCAACTATCCATCTTTATGCAACTCCAAATATTTGCATAACAGTAGTTGATGGAAACACGATTATTTCACTTTTCTTTTGCCAATTTTCTGGAAAGTTGGTTAAATTGTTGCACTACATTTAGATAGAAACGTGACTACTTTGAGTAGCATTAAACATCAGAAATAGGTCCCATACAAGTCTGTGCTACAGTGTGACAGTGGTGCATCAGGGCTAGGTAAATGATATCTGAGAGATGGCAGCAGGCAGAACAAAATGGCCGTGGTGATGGGTAACATTTCAAGAGGCGAACAAAAGGTGCAGGTGCTGCTAGTGAAAAGGTCAATTAACAACAAACCTCTCACAAGTGCCTCTTTAACCTGTGGAGGTATTACAATGCAACACTGTTAGAAAGAGAGCACATTAGTATTCAGCAGTGAATGAACAGTACGAGCAAAACACTTCACAGGCACTAACAGCATGAGAGACCACACTCACCCATCATCTTGTAAGCAGTGGCACATATCCCATTGGTATCACTGGCCGGCGTGGTGGGCTGGGGCGGTGGCGGGACGCTGGGTCTGTTCCGGGGTTTGGGGACTGGCCGCTGCCGGGGAAGTGAGCCCGACAGGTAGGGCGACGGGGACGGAGGTGCGACTACATCATGGGTGGTGGTGGAGGGAGGAGGGGTGTCCGGAGGGGTAGGGGTGCTTGGGGGTGAGGGGTCTGCGCTCCGCTGGTCGCCGCCGGGATGGCCGTGGGATGCCGGCTGCGTCGGAGGGCTGGCCTGTGTCGGAGGCTCCGGGGGTGGGTGGCTGGGCGCCTGGATTGGGGGCTGGTTGCTGGAGTGGCGTCTGGGCGTGGCACATGGCTGCGAGGTGGGGGAGGTGGGCGAGGTGGGCGAGTGGCTGGACAAGGGTCTGGGAGTGGGGCTGAGGGACTGGGATGAGCCTGATGAGGAGGCGTTGTTCACTGAGTTACAGGGCTGGCTGGGTGGAGGGTTTGTCGGTTTGGGAGGGGCAGGAGCCTGCTTCTTGGTACCTGGAATTTGATGGCGAAACTTGTGATTATTGGTGGAAAACAATAACAAATATATTGTCCATTACATACATGCAACTTCAATCTAGAAATGATATGGCAAGACAGGTTGCTTTCAACAGACAGTTCACACTGTAAACTGAAATGTAGAAAAAAATGTCAATCAATAAATGGTTAAAATAAACATTGTCCCTGTAAGCTTGCTCTACCTTTGACTTCTGTTAGAGCTTAAGAAAACAACACATTGAGTAGATAAGGTCTTATGAGCTCTTAATTGTAGGCTGTGGCCACACAATAGCCTTACTTTATACCTGATCAAAAAGGCTTTAGAATCAATTCTCTGTTTTAAAAAGGAAGCAAGTGCACGTGACAGTGAAGTGAAAATCCCAGCAGTTCAGTCTGGCAGCTGTGTGATGGACTAGCTGTGAGTGTGGGGAAGTTTTAGAAGAAAGAGCAGTGTAGGATAATGATGATGGTAATACATCTTATGAGCTGGATGAGAAATATGCCTATTTGTACCAAATTGTTACACAGACTCTTACCTCTGCGCATCGTATGTGGACTCGGCCCCATGGATCCACCCCCGGAAGTCCCAGTGCCCAGCTGCCCTGCAGCCTGGCCCCCTCCACCAGAGCCATTCCTCTGGAGCAGAGGGGTATGGGCAGGTGTGGAGTCACGTAGCTTTGGGTTGCTTTAGAGAAGAGGAAAAAATAAAGTCATTTCAACATAAAGGCTTTTGAAATTCTTGGTTTTGCTTATAAAACAGCATCCACTGCTATTAAAATAAATACAGCACAAATTTAAACTCATCGATCATGTCAAGTGCTGCAATGGTAAACCTCATAAATCTAATCTGGGTGTCTCATCTAAATGTACCTTCCCAACAGAGTCTGTAGGACCAAAAGAATGCTGAACTCAATAGCGTTATCTGTCTGGATATGAATGTTGTCCTTTCACCAACTAAATCAAAGACACCCTTCAGTCGTTGCATAACAGACACCAATGTCCAGGCTTTTCAAAGCAGTTTGAGCCAGTTAGTGTGAAGTTCCTGCTGATTCCAGTGATTTGGGGAGGAAAGCAGAGGAATGGGAAGTGGAGAGGCCCTCAGAGTGACTGTTAGCAGAATGACAACAGCCATTGTTGGGCTGTGTGTCTGTGGGCTGAACTCAGACAAGTCTGCATAGCTGAAACTGGTGGTGGTGTAAGAAAACTTGTGGTTTTGCTAGAGAAACAACAAGATGAACCATAGTGGCCAGGAGAAGAGGCTGTGTCTGCAACGTATCAGTGAAACATGCATTAATAATCCACTATAGTGTACTTAGATAAGCCAATCAGACTGACCTCATCTGTTCACAGAAGAGGCACTTATGTCTTCCTGTAACATCACTAAAAGTATAAAAGCATTTCTTTCTTTCTGTCTGTCTGGCATGCTGTGTCATTCTCCACCAGCAGCAGAGATGCAGAGAAGCAGCCCTTACCTGAGCTCCTCTGTGTGCTGGGCTAGAAGCTGCTGAGCAGCTGCGAGAGCAGCCAGACCCTGCGCCAAGCTATGCTGGGAAGCTTCAGGCCCTGAACCCCCTGATGGAGATTGTGACTGGGGCTGGGGCTCAGCCGAGAGCTGGGGGACCTGCCCAGCCCCGTGCCCCTGCCCTTGAGCCTCCACAGGGGGTAAAGGAGGCTGGAAGGCAGGTGAAGTGTGCTGCTTTCTACCTAAGGTGTTACTGCCTCTACGGAGGGTGTAGTCCGAGTGCTTGTTAGGGGTGCTACACAGGGAGAGCGGGGAGACAGTGAAGGAGGAAAAAAAACAAAACACCAAAGCTTTGATCAGAGAGTCACAGATTAGATGGGGATAGAGAATCACCATAACCCCAGAGCATGGAGAGAATTCATTATTATTATTAACAGTGTTATGGATCATATTATTGGGATTCAATCAAATCTACCTTAAAATTTACAATAAGCAAGAGTAACAGACCAAAAAAAGCAACTGGATTAAAGCCAAAATTATTTCCCAAGCGATTAATTGGAGTAAGTGACGAATATCGTGGGCCAGAGAAACCTTGGAAACTCTAGGGAGTAGCGGTACTGAGGGGGATTACTTGTCTTTGCGCGTCGGGTCGTTCTCTGGTCCCACCATACTGCCAGGCCTCTTCCTCTCAATGGTTCCACAGTCGTAGTCTAGGTGATTGTTGTGGTTGGATGCAGGTGTAGGCATCGCAAACATGCCGGACACATTGAACTCCACATCTGTAGGAACAGAGAAGGCAAGATTTACAAATACAAACTGTTATACAACGAGCTTAGCCTTTAAACTTGTAGAAGGTGTGGCAAGAAGAAGGGAAGGTACAATGGATAACTACTTTCCTTTATTGAATTAAACTACAAATAAAGACACAACAAAAGATGATCCACTATCCAGAGGGGTGGGTGACCAGTGACGTGTGAGGACTGGACAGCCTTATGTAACACTAGACCACGTGGGTCTTGGTCTTCATCCAAGTGAGCCCTGGTGTGGCTTGTTAGGAGGTTTGTAATGTGAACCAAATTCAGGGAACAACCCCAAAACACAAAAGGTTTTATGGGTAAGAGGAGTTGACATCAGACAGCCAGTTACACATGCTTGGCAGGCGAAGCATAACAGAATGAAAACTGGGCAGGAAGCCAAGTCACAATCAATCATCAAGACCGATGCTCATATTCAGTTTTATTTGTTCTTAACTGGCATAACTGGTTATTTCTACATTTTCATTTTTCTTTATTTGGGGCAAACACCCTTCACAGGTCAACCAGTCCATCAGAGGACAGACGTAGTAATGCTTAGATTCATAGCAATGGGTAATAAGTAAGTTTCAAATCTGCTTGGAATTGTCTAGTGACTGTGAAAGCAATCTCCCAAAGATACAGGCAGTAATCAGCTGAGGTCCAGCAGAAGCCACTGACCCATCATCTCTGAGCAGTTATGCTGACAACCGTGTAGACAGTCCATCATCATCTCTGCCTAAGACACAGCGACTAAAAGGCAGACTGGCTTTGACAAGCCCGCTAGTTAAACTATGACAATAGTGCAAAAATGTTTTGACCAAAGAAGTGAAGGTGTAATTTGCAACCCAAGATAAATGTACAGAATTGAAAAGATGGGTTTGAAAGACTTTGGTTTAATGATTGTTAAAAGTAGTTTCCAGTAATGGTGGTTACAAATAATCTAACAAATAACTCTTTAAAATATCTTGAAAGAGACTGCTTTTGGCCATAACATTTGTTAATGTGGGGTTATATTTCTATCCACTTTCCTCATTTGTACTCACCTCGTTTGATTTGGTCTGTTTTTTACATAACACAAGCTGAATTAAGGGGGAATACAGAACATCTGTTTTGTAAGTTTTCATTGTAGCCTTCAAGCTGTCCTCTACAGTACAAACCTACAGTTTGAAGAGACACAGCAGTGATTCTAATCATGGTCCTTGGGAGCTTGATTACTGCTGACTCTTTTCTTTCTTACTAGGTGGTTAATATCAATCATATTCACCATGCATCCCTGGTGTAAAATAGGCCCTGATTGGCTCCAAAGAAAAAAAGGTCAGACAGAGAGCAACTGCTGTAGAGGAAACCCAGAACCCTACCCTCGGGAAAGAACCAGTCAGCATGCTGGATGATGGGCTCCACGATGGCCACCACGTGTACAGAGGTAGCTGCAGCCATCTCAGCCAGACTCCTGGGTGGACACGTACAGATGAGCGACAATTAGATGCTTTCTAACATAATGAAGGGCTAAAATAAGCTAAAATAAGACTATTGTTTGTAGAACTTTCAACCAACCTCGACTAGGATAATGCCTAACAGAGATTATTATACTGTCCTTGTTTTAAATAGTAACCAACATGTAATATTGTATTCACAATATTATCTTCCCCTTCCACTCAATCCCCTCTCACCCCTCGGTTTTGGCCCACAGCAGATTGGGTCCCAGGACGATGGCAATGTTGCTCGGAGTCATTTTGTTCACCTCGCTGTCCTGAGCTAGTTTGGATAGAAACTTCACCAGATACCTGCACGGAAACATGGGAATTAATTAGCACAGGTGGAAACAGTGTCTCAGAAGACACTGAAGCATTGCTGTCACAAACTTTCTGTTAACGAACCTCAGGTTGGTTTTGTTGTTCTTTGGTAGCTTATCACATACAACCCAGAGTGCCTGGAGCCTCTTGTCTGGGTCTGACACACTGGGGAAAAAAAAGATAATTGAGAGAAGAACATTTGATTAGTTATATGTCTCAAATGAACTGCCCTATCATTTTCCATTGCTTTACAGTGATACATCCACTCAATATTGGTACATTCCCAGTAATAATGTTATGAGGCTTGCCTGGACGCCTGGATCCATTCATCATAAATCTGATATGACATTAGAGGCTCAGGGAGTTCCCTCAGGTAGGACTTCAGTGCTCCTGAAACCACACATCAACAGATATTATGAATAAGCCACTTTACTGGGTGAAGTTTCATTATATCATTCAAACAATTGTTAAGTAAATTATCAAATTCAGTTATAAAAATTGATAAGCTTTTAAATTCATTTTTGCATTAAATGCCCTAAGTAACACAACCTTACCTAGTCTTGGACTTTAAATTACTATAAAGTAAAATAACAATAAACAAAGAAAATCAAAAATGGCTCTGGTCTGCAGCGTACCAGCAACAGCGTGGGGGTCAGAGTAGAACTCCTCCAGTTGTGACGTGGAACAATCCAGCGCTGCTTTTAGCTTCTTTAGCTTGGAGGCCCCTGCTGCGATTCTGAATAGGCCCTGACGGACACACATAAAGACGAATAAACCACAGTAACATCACCAGCAAACAACTACTAACATACACGCAGGCATTCAATGTGCACACAAGTCTGTGTGCTTTCACTGAAGACGTACACGCGCACGCGCACTTTCCTAACACTCAATTATAGATAGACTCTGTATAAATCCACTACATAAACTCCCCCTGCCAGCTGCACATAATGAAACCTTAAAGCAGGCAAACAAACACACCCACCACTCACAGCACAGCGAGCTCTTTACTTTGACACATAAACAAAGACTGTCTTCACACCATAATGACATAGACTGGACTCACCAGGGAATGAATAGGGCGACAAATAATGTGCTTTGCAGTTAACACTTGCACTCTCTCTCTCTCGTCGTTTTTTGTACAGACACGTACACACGTGTACGTGTACGTGTACGTGTACGTGTACACACACACACACACACACACACACACACACACACACACACACACACACACACACACACACACACACACACACACACACACACACACACACACACACACACACACACACACACACACACACACACACACACAGAGAGAGGGGAATCTGATTTATGGACAGGAGACAAGTAGATTCTATTGTATTCTAAATTTGTGTTGGGGAGGGGACATCATAAACATTTCATAAATCATTCCTGTAGCAAAACGGGTGACGGTTTCTTCGGAGCGGCGTTACAGAAATGCAGGAGTTTCCCTTGTTTATAGTTTGTCTATCCGCTTTGAGTCTTGAGATGTTCATGTGAACAAACAATTCACAGCTTGGTTTCAATTATGTCAATGACCAGTGGAGCCGCTAATCGCAGCCACAGGTCCATGTGACTTTTAATGAGCTACGCCAGCACTTCTTTTACTTCTATATTAAGGCAAGGAAAACAAAAGAGCAGTCAAGTCAGTTAAGCAAACAAAATCTCCTTCTATGTTATAAAATACTGTACAGGGAATTAGCTTGGAGTCAGATAAGAAGTGACCATGCATGAATGTCTGTTTGCTATCATTTAGAGTTGAACCTCAGCTTCAAAATATCTGATCGTATTCATCAATATTTAAAGTTGCATTGCTCAGGCTTTGGCTCCTAGTACAGAAAAACAGAAAACAAGCTGACAGACACACAGGCCTGACATACGATCACTGGTGAAAGTTGTCGTGTTATATAAGGTGTTAGCAAACAGCTGGTGTCTCTGGTCAGCAGATGAATCCAAGTTCAAAATTCATTTTCCTTTGAGCTTTATTTTGGTCTCAACCAACTTCTCAGGGAAATGGCCCTTAAGTTTACTAAAAGATTGGCTTTTGTCCATCAGATCTGATTGCTGCGCAGATAACACACAGTTCCTCCTACAGGCTTGGCAAGAGTGACTGAGAATCAACAGAGTTAACAAGCAGGCCATGAAATCAAAACAAATAAGGGCTGCATTTATAAACGATTATTGTCTTTAACAGTTGATCTACAGATTATTTTCTTGACTAATAATTTGGTGTATAAAATGTCACAAAATAGTGAAAAATGCCCATCACACATCTTCAAATGTCTTGACTGACTTCCGAGAAGCGGTTTAATTTTAGCAATGGCAATACAGCATCGTTTCTGGTAAGTCAGCCGAGTTACTTGTGCTGTTCTTAACACCCATGTGACACCAATTTTCAGCCTCTGGTTGCACTCATCTTACAGAAGGAGAGAACGATCCATATCAATTTATTTTCACTCATACAGTAGATAAATGCCTCCATCTGTCTATCCATAGAGCAGAATAATCATGTAGGATGTTATGAACAGGGCTTCTTCTTAACTTCCTTACCTCTTCCTTCATGCCAGTCTCCAGAAGCATCATGACACAGGCCTCTAATGGCAGGGCGATCTCCCTCCCGCTCCTTTTCAGGTGTTCATCCAGGCCAGTGCCAAATGCAGGCTTCTCTGTCCACGAGTCTAAACACAAAGGGAGCAATTCATTGTGAAGAGACCATACTGTAATTTTATTCACATTGTTTCAAATCTGATGAGACATAAAACAAGCGTTGCAATGGAGCTGGTGCAGATTGTTTGTATGACCCGTCTGTCACACTGGTATGCAATAAAAACATAAAAAAACATCAGCATAGGCCTCGAACAAGCCTGTTGCTGGTCTGGACGGCAGATTTCTGGGTCAAAAACTCTCCCTCGGGCCAGTTCCTCACTAGTCCTCACTCCCCCTACAGGGTGCTGTCAAATAATAACCACATGCTCCGGGCCAGCAGGAGTGACTGTTCAGCCGTCGTTCTGTTTGTGTGTGTGTGTGTGTGTGTGTGTGTTTGTGAGCTAATGTGCGAGTGAACAGGGAGGCCGAGGAGCTAGGAGGGGGGAGAGCTTGCAAAACCCAGGTGGGTGGGTGATGAGAGAAGGGGTGAGGGTGTGCGTGTGGAGTTCGTGAGTCATCGCCACATGCTGGGAGACCAGGCTTGTCTGGTTTAGACCACATGTGTTTAGCAAAGAAAAAAACAAGCCCCTTGAATAGGACACCACTTCATGACTGCAAAAAAAGGCAAAAACCCAGTGAAGGAGCTTGGAGAGGAGACATTGTGTTTGTAAAATGGAAAAGTTGATTACTCTTGGAGGGCAAAGAGGTGAAAACAAAAGACTATTCTTTCATATCTGGGCCTCAGTTGTGGCCTTTAACAATTACCGCAAATGGAGCAAATTCTGGTAGTCCAGAAGTTAGAAAAACAGACCAGAGTGATACAATTGAAAGGCACAGTAGCTGGTTTCATTTCTCACACCAGTTGGAAAAGTGAATAAGAAACTGTTTCTCCTCCTAGCAACTACCTGTCAGCTCACCTTTGGGCAAGCTAGTCAAACTCTCCAGTGACTAACAGGAAAAGGTTTGTTTGAAGGGACACCAAACAACACAGTAACCAAAGAAAAACAGGGGCTGTTGGTCTGAAAAAGGCACACGTGCATTCTCCAGGAAACATATAAAGAGGTCCCATACTATGCGCTGCACAGACCCTTCTTGTATGCAACTTTTTTAAACAACGCTGCAGTGTTTTGTGTTAAATGGCATGTTTGCATGTATTATTACCTTGCTGTGCCTGGATGGTTGGCAAGACATTCTCCAGAACAGTGAGAGACTTTCTGTGGTAATCAGCTTGAGCTTCTAAGAGCTACAGAAACAAAAATACCACAGAGAGAAATATGGGGGTGAGCTGAGTCAGACGAGCAGTAAAAGACAAGACAGCAAAGTAAATAAAACAGCAGGCCAAGTCTGTGTTCCCCAGTTCCTGTGCAGCTGTGAAGATTCCCACAAAGACACATGTTTGGCTTGTTGACACACTGTACTCACTGTTACAAAGTAGCAGGCATAGTCCCCTTCTTTTGAGAAAAAACTGTACATGTCTGCAGCAAGTTGATCCTGGGTAATAAAGACAGGAATTTAAACAGTTAGAGCACTGAAAGACGATAGCCATAAAGTTAATACTTTCTTTCTAGACCAATCAGAATGTGCTTTACAATAAGAACGACAGTCAGTGAGAAGAAGGGTCACTTTGCTGCTCTGAACTCTTATTAATTTAGTAAAGATCTCTGATCTCCACTACACAGTGTCATCCATCAAATTAATGTGTATTTCAGGTGGCACAAGGACAGACGTCAGTGGTCAGCTAAGCCGCCGGTCTGTGCTCTACGTGAGTCATAAATCCTCCTGTTGTCGGCAGGACTCAGTGACGCTGGGAGGGAGAACTTGTGAAGGGGAAACACAAGGCTCTGCGCTTCCTGGACAGAAAACCTGACACATCAGGCAGCCACTAAAACTCGCCAGTGATTCAGGTCAGTAGATGCAAACACTCACACAAACACTGAGCTGACGGGGCATTTTCATTTTCATTGGTGTGCGTCAGCAAACTGGGTCACAGGGCCCAAGGGTCTTGGGAAGTCCAGTTGTTGCTGTTATTTTTTTTTCCCCCACTTATGATGAGGCCTATTTCCAATTTCTTTAACTCATAAAGCCATAAATAACCTATTGCCTGCCCAAAGATACTAGCTAATACTAAACAGCACTATATACCGACTTCATCTACTAAACGCTTGTCATCTGCATATAATGACATCAAGCCAAGTTTTATTACCACTATGCAAAGTGACATGGCTGCAATATAACCCTGACAATACATGACTGGTGGTGTCATAAACTTATTAAAGACCACAATGAAGCAATATAAAAGACATATCAGCTAGTCATTGATATTCATGCTGGTTACCTTGCAAAGCTCCACTTTGTTCATGGCCTCATCCATCTCCTCCTTGAGTAAGTCAGCCTTGGCCGTCAGTGCTTGAGTGTTTGTTCCTGAGATTATTGACTTGGTTGCCTGCAACCATCTGAGTTTGGAAAGACAAGGGAAAATTGGAAAAATGGGGTGAGACCGACTCTGCGATCCAGAAACAATTCAGGATTAACTTTGGTTTCATTTAAGTATGATCTGGATGTATCACCTGACAATGCATTACAAATCAACACATATAACATGGTGAAAGAGAGTGAGCTGTAAACGAACAAACCTTGCTCTGGCAGAATCATAGTCCAGCACCAATTTGGCCAGCTGTTTCCTCTGCTTCAGGATGTTGGGAATGTCCACCTACAAAAAATTAGATCCATGACAAGTTGAATGAGCCTGAGAATTTAGAATGGCAAATATCTGACACTGTTTTCCGACTGTTCTTTCTCGATAATTATTTCATTTTTCCCCCCCCAATTAGCCTTTTTAACGGTAAAATTATAGAAATAAGCTGAATTGCTTGCAGGTTTGTAAGAGTTTTTACAAATCCTTGGAGCAGTTACTCTTATTTCAGTTTGTTGAGGAGGGGATAGAAATGTCTTTTACACTACAAAATGATCACAGCAAAACACCTTTGAATGGAGGTCTTGGCCCTGCAGTGCAGCTTAAGAGTAACAACTGTAGCAAGTGCAGTTATATAAGAAACAACCCAAAATGCAAGGTTTAAAAGGTACAAAGATGTCTGATAGGCGACTGTTTGGAAAAGTTGGTATAACAAAATGAACAGGTGGCACACCACAGTCTGTAATGACAAAGAGAAAAGGCCTCATGTTTAGCTAACGTTACCAGGATTGGCATCGGTTTTGTTTTAATTTCTCCAACCTCACAGGATCACATTTCCAAAGCAGGTCAATGTGGAACATACTTGTGAATCCATGCAAGCTTTGCTTGAAAGCTGTAGTTAATTTGCAACTGGGCAGTGTAAACCCAAAAGACAGGAAAACAATGTTTCTATTAAACAATCTATTGCACTATAATAAGACCAAAGAAAGCAAATAGAGGGGGTGTTACTGCACTCACAAACAAGCCAAGAGCTATGAAAGAATTTTAAATATTTAACTTGTGTTTAGTGGCTGTTATGTCCATAAAGAGGGAGGTTTCTCACCTCTGCTAGTTGGCTGAGGGGATCCAGAACGTCCTTCTCTATCTGCAGCTCATGTTGCATCAGTTCTGATGCCAGACGATTCTCTGCCTCACCACACACTTCCATCATCTTCCTGTTAACACAAGCGTCAGCACAAAGAGAGAGAAAGGTGTTAAAATCACAACGTAGTCTGTCTAGTCAGATCTCATTATCACATCAGCACAATTAGGTGAGGATGCCAGGTCTTATACATCCAGTGTAATCACACATCTCCCTAATAAAATATAACAACACAGAGGGATGACAATCTGGGACACCAGCTCTTCATCTGTTCCCAGTCAATAACTGAATGTAAAACAAGGTTATTGTAATGTCATCATTTCTAGCTGCCTGAAGCCAGGAGCACACAGTGACCTAGTGACAGTTAGTTCATTTACATGAATCAGGTTTTTTTGGCCAATGAAGGCCCTAAGCTTTGATACAGAAACCGAACAGTTGACACAAAGGCATCACATTTACTAAGAGACCAACTGTCGACTTTCCCTTCCTTATTATCTCGAGACAGACACATGGCTACTGCGTAGATTTTCTACTTTCTAGATCCTCAAACCTCCACTACAATCTGTCTCGTCCTGTTTTGTGTGTTGCTCTCGGTCACAATGAATGATCTGAATCTCACATAAAGGGAACTACTGAAACTCCCATCAACAGAAAACCAAACTGGGCAGATTGCTTGCCCTGAATGCATGGCCTCATATTTCACACTCTCTGGGGTGCATCTGCTCCATTAGCGACAGTTGCCAAGGAGGAGCAATTGGTTATCCGGCCTGTCAATCAATCACAAACTCACCCTATTAAGGAGTCTTCTCCCAACTGGTTTCCGCCTTCCACCATCGCCTGGGATAGCGAAGTCAGAGGAAGCTTTTTCTGTGGTGTGTGTGTGGAAGAGGGACAGATGCAGACAATTATTAGACTTAGATGAGATGAGATATACACAACATCATACTATGCACACGCATAAAAAGTACCCATTTCTATACAGCAGTTTCACTATTTGATGTTCAAGCCAATGGAAAATCCACCAAGGACTTTCCATTGAGCAAATTCAGTCAGGAAGAGGAAGAGAGCTTTCTGAGCAAAGGAGGAAAACACAGATGTTAAATGGGATTTAAGATGCAAACTAGGGAAGTAAGACGTCTATCAAATCACAACACTGGCGCTCATTTTCACAGTTTACACTTGTGCAAAGAATTTATGAGTATTCAACATCCTGTTTTTACCCGAGAATCCCAAAAGAAAAAGTGTCATGCATAGTGAATAAAGATGACAGATGTCTGAATGGAAAATGGAGCAATTGGTGCCAAGAACCAGAGAGGTGGAATAAGTAATCAGTGTTTTTACCTGACCATTTCCTGTATAGAGGCGTGGTACGGACTGTAGTGCATTTTTGGGTGGTGTGGGGTAGAAAACACAAAAGACAAATCATGGACTGTAGGCCTACGTTGGACATTTTGAAAACAGTAAGAACTCAAACTTTGTGTGGGAGGTGAATTATATAAAAAGAATAAAAGGTATTACACATCCAAGAACAGTTCATTGATCTGGTTAGTTTGTTTCTAGAAAGGCAAACTGGAGCTGTGACAAAAGTTTTATTGTAACAATCTTGATGTCTTACATGTCTCTTCTCTGCTTCTGCACCGATGTGTCCCTGTAGACATGACACCATCCTCTTGTGTGTGTTGTGGGACACCACACGCACCAACTCCATGCGCCGTTCAATCTGTGCAGAAGACAAGACGTACGAGACAGATTTTTAGTAAATATATTCTATAAAGATATATTATATAGATGAAATGTGGCTTTTTTTAAATGTTTGTACAAGCATACAAAAACACATACACATGACTCAAGGTCTTTATTACCACGACTACTCTGTGAACTTTTGCTTCATCAACGCCATTAACCAACGCAACAGTGTGCCAGCAGTGTTGATGGCTGATGAGATCCAGTTCCATGTAGAGATTTGATTTGTAGCTGCTTTGAGGGAGCCAGGGGCCAAAGGTCATGCATGATTGATAAGGTTTGTCCCCGCGGAACAACGCTGGAATGTTATCTTTGAAACACATGACTCATCGGAAGTGTCTCTATAGCAACGGCCACCGGGCTGTGACCGAGAGCGAGGGGTTCTTCGGCTTTAAAAAGGTCTTTTTGATTACACAGGCTTTCTCCTGTCTGCTAGCTTAACTACACAGATCCACTCTGTGCTTTTAGCCTGACAAGATATAATACTGTCATTGATGGGAGTCACAGCTATTCTGGCTTTAAGACAGAGCCCAACTGAAGCTCCGCAGGATGACTATTCATTGTCCTTGTCATGCCAGGTGCCTGACTGGGACAGTCAGTGTCAACATTAGCCTGACTGTCACTAGCCCATGAATAGAACTGATGATTGCAAGTTACTGTTCGAGTCTACTTAAAAGTCTGATGATGCAAAGAACTGGTTTGCCTTGGCAGCGCTTGTGAGAAAATTCAACAGCAGATTACATACACAGAACAGGTGTGTCTTCCTTTTTTTTTTATAAAAAGCACATCTGATGGGAGAAAGTGGGAGTCTGTAAGTGTCTCAAAAGGACAAACATGTTCTCAAGAGTCGGGGACAAACAATGTTCCAAATATAAATGGAACACTGAGGTCTAGAGGGCAGAAATGAAGAGAGACAAATGCAAAGGGAGGATCAACCAAATACCAGACAATTGTGTTCCAAAAACAGAATGGAGTCCGAACTCAGGAATTCCAAAGCAGATATCCGCCTCCAACCGTACGCCCCCCCCTTCCTCCCTCGGTTCTTGCACTCTTACGTCATTCCCGACCCATGGTGGCCCCAGCATTCCCAAAACAGCTGGGTCAAATACAAACTTCACCAAACACACACTCGCACATGCATACACACACACACACACGCACTCAGCTATAGGCTTGGGAACACTTCGTAGACTCAGCCCAGTTAGTACCTGGCACACAGAACAAGCAGGGGATTCCCCTCCCTGTGCTCTAAGAGAGATGATGTTCCTGTGTGGGTGTATTGGAAATGTTTGGGTTACATGGCACTGGGAGTATTCTTCTTCCTTTCATTGTGACAAACTGGGGTTAGACGCACAAGACCATACAGTCGAAAAATAAATTGTGCGGAGGAGTTGGGGAACCTGGGCCAAAAGGAGCTGAAAAGCAGGCAGCAGGGTGTGTTTTTCCTCCTGCTCTGTGATGAGGTCAACACATGGTCAATCCCATGACGCGTCATTGAGCAGGGAATCCCAATACTGGCTAGGATGCAGGGGGAGAAAAAAGACAGAGAGGGTGTCTGTCTGTCTGTCTGTCCGTCTGTGTGCTTGTGTGTGTGTTTGTTTATTGGTTCCTAAGAGAAAGGATGTGAACATGTCTGGACAAGTCCAGAATGAACAAAAATAACATAACATGACGCATTAAGAGGGGAATTAGGCAGTGAGCCATTGATGCAAACAAAATACTCTTTGTTAACATTAGGGCTATATGACAGAAGTGTTAAAAACAGCTGGTTGCTACCTTATAAACTGCCCTCAATTATTACACGCAACTAGGGTGTGTGCATGCATGCAGGCAACCTGGTATTTCTGGTGGTACCCCTCTGTAGATGAGCTGCTATGTAGGGAAGCAGCAAGGAATGGACAGCTGGCACAAGAATGCTGGGTGGCTCTTTGGCACCCTGGAGGACCATATTCAAAAAAGGGCTTGGGATGAGGAGGCTAAGATTAGAATACGTCAAATGCCAAAGACTCACAACTGAGATGAAAATGGGATTAGGGCTGCCACTAACATTTATTTGCATTATCAATTTTCGATTTTTCTAGATTATTCGATTAATCGTTTGGTCTATAAATATGTGTCAGAAAATTGTGAAAAACTACCATCCCAAAGACCGACTGGCCGACCACACAGAGATGGTTGGATGCAGCTGCGGCTGATATGACACGATGAGTTAAAACTCAAACAAAGTGAATCTCAGACGGGACTTTTTATGCTCACTTTCATTTCTTTGCAACAACAAGTATATAATTGGAAGTGTATGGCGGGGGTGTGATAGGAAACCACTATGTGAAGTAGAAGAAGAAGTAGGAAGCCTGAATAAGAAGGGGGAGGCTGATATTCCAGGATGGGTTTTCCAATAACTAAAGGATAAACTGAGAATTTTTGTTTCGAAGCGAGGAGCGACACAGCCATCTCAGGAATTAAAGAGGTCGAGTGATTTCTATCTCTCCATCCCATACTCCCTTTTTCCTTTATCAGACAGCAATGTTACTCTGAAGTGAGACACAGAGCCCACAGAGACTCAGCGGCTGATTTCCAGACAGAGGCAGAACAACCGTGTCTTTGAGAAAGTCAATTGTCAGACTCAATATAATGTCCCCTCCTCAGTAAAAAAGTACCCTAAGCGGTTAGTCATCACTGTCCACTTGCATTAGAGCAACTCATGCTGGCTCTGAATCTAACTCTGATGTTCTAGCGGTGACTCAAATACACTTTCCCCATATAAAGCCCATGTAATCTTCACAACAGAGGTTGGCTGTTTGTTTATGCATCCGGCTACAAAAGAGGGTGGGGAGAGGAACAACAAGAATAAAAGGGTGTCAGACATTGTGGCTTTGGCTGTTTCAAGGAGTAATGCAAAGCCAACTGAGTTTGTTTTAACATCTATGACATCTCCCATTCAAACACAAAGACCATCTGAATCGCTGGAATGTCTTTGCTGAGCAGCCAGTATTTTGTCCCAACCCCACCTGCATTCTCTCTCACACACACACACACACACACACACACGCGTTGTCGATATATGCAACTCACACACATACAGCCACAGCAAACTGGCCCCTTCTTGTTACTATGGAAGTGCTTCTCAGCCAATGCGTCAGCAACAGTGCTAACTACATCTACATAATGTATTTGCTACTAAGAGTTTGCAGTTCATAATTTCAACCCAGTGCTACACCAGCTGAGCCCACTGATAAGCAATCTTCAACCAGGGAGGAGGATCTAATAAGTGATATCAGCTACTGTCTGGTTGGCATGAAAACTGGAATACATTTGGGCCTGTTCAGCACATGGTCCAGCAGCCCTTTCAGCTTCAATAGGACAAATCTTAACTCAATTTTGCATGTTCTCTTGCGCGCTGTAAGAAGTGCTCACTGCTCTGGTGTTTGTTCTGTATCCAACTCTGGCCTGGTCATACTGTAATACAGTATAAAGACAAGTCAATGCAAAGGTGTAGCAGAGGAATTACCAGGGAAAGAAGAAAACTACTACTAACAGGGGTTCAGAACCAAAAATTAGAAAGGCCTTCCTGAGACAAGTGTAGGTTAAATAACTGTTGTATGAATCAGTAACAAAGCAGCAAAATTATTTTTATTTATATGGCAGAAGCTGCAGATTATTAATGAAAAAAAGTGCAATCATGTTTAAGGGACAGTGACACACACTACACTAGGCCTGATCAATGATTAATGCACAAATAAAGGGGAGGGACTAAGATGAGAAATGACCCGCTCTAGCCTTGGAATTACCTACCTATAGAAAAAAATCTCATGACTACACAACAAGCTCAGTTTCTCAGAATCAACTAAAATGTTCCTCGTCGCTGCTTTAACCTCACCTGTATAAATATGGCATCCAAAATCCTGGCACCATAATTACATTAAAAAACTAGATTAACAGACTAATTTGGGACTAAAAAAAAAGGTTCTGCAGCATCCTTTCTGTAAAGCCAATTTTTGTGGTGAGCAATAATGTGGTGCTTTGTGCTTCATGCATTTCCACAAATAAATAAATACTGTTTGTACTTTTGTGAAACCAACTGATCTGATTCAGAAATGACTGGTCCGTGTAACTGCAGCCATTGCCTAACAGACACAGCCGTTCCAGTGTTAAGAGCTGGTCAGAACTCTACAGTCAGATTAATGATTTACCTGTAAGAGGTCATCGCTGAGGACTTCTGTTTTCTCCGCTCTGTGGGTGAGAAAAGACAACAGAGAGTGTTCAGATTAGCACTGTTAGACAACAAAAACAGATAGGTATTTGTACTTGAACAGTCTGTCACTGAAAATATCTGCTAGACAAATGGCACCCGTCCTGAAAGACTGGTTTCCACTCTCTATTTGAACACTAAAACAGTGGCAGGTATTGACCAGGGCATCCGTGGGAATGTTTCAAGAGAGGGTGGGTCCCTTTGGTTTTGTTGCCATGGCTCAACCAGCCAAGTAACAGGCTGGTATCTAGGCTGGAGGCAAAATACGTCTTCAGACTACACTGAAGCTTAAATTATATCTGATAATAGACATTACAAAAGCAGAGACTCTGTTAAGCAAGAAGGCATGTTTCTGTAGGTAGTCTACTCAACAATTTTAGATTTTCGTTAAGCCACAGCTAGCCGGGCTCACAGTGTCGTGCACAGGGTAGCCACGCAGTCCTGCTCTGCCTGAGCCTATTAATAGTAAACTAATAGTTGGACTTGGAGAGGTCAGACAGATTAGAGTCACTTAAAGGGAGAAGGCTGGGAAACACAGGCTCAGCTCACACTGCTTATCAACACCTTCACACAGGGCCGATGGCTTCTATGGCTATGGGGGGGGGGCAATGCTACAGTCCGAGGGTCGGTGGCTGGAGATGAGTAGAATACAATGGTTGACTTGCAACTACAAGACGGACTCATTAAGTAAAAAAGCCATGTCTATGTGTTGTTTGTTGGAGTTGATATAAGGCTGTATAGGTTTAATTTTGTTTTAGTGTGATTTTTGGTGTTGTTGTGTGTTCTGTTCTCTGGTGTTTTTTTAGGTCATGTTTTATAAAAAAAAAATAAAAAAAAAAACATTAGACAGTGTACACTTACAAAACGTAATATACACGCGTCAACATTTCTGTGCATTGAAAGCAGCAAATCAGATAAAACATATACTAGTAGGTCTGCTCGGCATGCTCCAGCTATAGGGTTTATGCTGCAGAGAACGTTTCAGTGAACCAGAGTTTGACAGTGCACACCAGTGGGAATTTATTAAAATGCCTACTCTGAAAAACCACCAGACAGCTAACAGCTGACAGTTTTAGCTAGATGTTAGTGTTTTAAATTGCAAGTGAAGGTTTAGATTCTGCACAAGAGCTAGTTCCTACTGTTCTCTATCATGAATTAGTGCAAATATAAAAGTACTGCAGCATTGCTATAGATTCAACCTTATACTGTAACTCACTGTAAACATGATTCTCAGTAAAGCAGGAGGCGTAACATCTAACCGATCTAATGTGAATTGTGTAATAAATTCTACTTAGGAAATAGAGCTAATGAGCAGACTTCCAGTAACATGCCTCTGTTCCCCCTTTCTCTCATGGGACTTCATTGTCACACTTTCTGCCTCTTTACTGTAATGCAGAATGAAGACTCTGCAGTTATTGTTGTGTCTAACTAATGTGCAAACTTTCAGCCTTCTGGAGTGACCAGTAGACCGTCGCTTGCATGCATTTTGGGTAACTGAAGCTCTAAATGAAGCCTGGGCCCTCCTCCAAAACCTGCTCTCTTTGAACTATAGTAACCTCGTCACAGCTGCTTTCAATTACAACACAGAGGCAGGGAGCAGGGAGAAACAGAAAGACTGACAGAGAAGGGGACGACAGTTTGGGGGTTCGAAGGAAAAAAAATACAAATACAGAGCTTTTGGGGGTGGGGGGGTTAAAGACTCCTAAAACTGCCAAACCAGAAGAATCTAGAGGCTGGAGATGAACGGAAAGATTTTCACTGGAGGAGAGCCATAGCCAAGCTGGTGAAGTGTGAGGACCTATAACCCACAGAAACCTAAGGCCAGGCTTCCAGCTAGCTGCAGACAAAAGAGCCACACACACATTATAATGTACATACACATACTGTACAGCAAAGATTATAAAGCCACAATATGGAATCCACGTTCTGGTGTAGACTACACGCTGAAGGGCTCTTCATGTGGTCCTATCGTGGGCCTAATCTCAAAAACCAGTGTGTTCTTCAAGCTATCCTTTCATGAATATACGCCTATGGATCACACACCGCCTGTGCAAACTGATCAAGCTTGTGTGAACCGAAAAAGCAGAGGCAAAAAAAAAAGGCTGTGTGCGAGCCTGGGCACACAACAACAAACAAAACAACAATTGTTTTGCCGGCATCAGCTGACCTAGAGCGAACAGAACTGACCCCGTCGTGCCTCACGGAAGCAGCAGCCTTTGGAGAAAGTGTGTCGCTGTGTGCACTGCATGTGACTTCTTAACAACAAGAGATCCTCGCTGCACAGCCGTGGCGGCCTGCTACATCAGAATGGTAACCATGGGGAGTGGAAGGGGAGTAAGTGAATACTGCAGTCGTAAGCACAATAGAGCGGCTGTTACCGGCCACTCAACACAATCAGCAGGCTGAGGAGTAGGGAGGGTCTGCCTCTTACGGTTGCAACAGTTGGCAGCTTAAGGCATAAGGTAATAGATACTGGACCCGGATGAAAGGAGCTGGAGAATAATTGAGTGACTCAGCCCATACAACCTCCCTAATGTGGCTGATTATGTGAGCTGTTACGTTAACATTAGAGGGCAAGAGCGAGCAAAACGTGGGGGGGCAAAAACTGAAAGGATTTTATCCAATGTGTGTTGTTGTGGTATAAAGATAAATTAAGGCTCAGCTTAACCTGAGCACTATGATGAAGCAGAGTGCTTCCTCTGAATGGATTTATATCACATATTATAACAACATTCATAATAGCCAGTTGTGCCACATTTTTCTGTCTCAAATTAATAATCTGGATGAAAGCAACAATAGCCCAGCCTCACAGGTCGTGCATATCACTAGTACCACAAAGGGGTCTCAGCGGACACACCTCTTTGTCCTCGAGGCACTGGCTTGGTGAGACTCCAGGGAAACGCCCAGAGTCACCTATCCTTATAAATTCGACAGTGACATTTTGCTGATCCCTGTGGGGAAAGTGGCTTTTCAAACACAACTCCCTCTTGAGTGAATCAAGGGCTTCCAGATACAATAGGTCTATATTAGCCTGCAAAACACTGTGCCAGTAAGAAGACTGTTGTTGTTGTTAGATATGACATCAAAAACGGATTATATAATGTTAGTGAATGAATAACAGCTCAGGTCAGATGAAAACCCTATACATTCTCCCTGGGCTGATAATGGAACTAATTTGTTGACCCCATTGACCTACAGAACAGGGCACCTGCAGTTAAAAGAGACTCAAAATCAGTAAGCTTATATCGGTATTGATTAACTCATTGATGTTACTCACTCTTGTGTGGTAAAGCAACTACCATACCAACCCAGATAAACTCAAAGTGATGCAGCAATTACACTAATGTGCATTGTGACATATCAGGGTTTAAGTGCTGGACTGTCTATCTTCCCCCAGACACTGTAATGTGCTGCTCTGAATAATTACTGCAAAGTGAACATAGAATGTTATCGACCGATCAATGTCACCTGCTGAGCTGAATCAGGATTAAACAAACAAGATGCAGCGTATTAATTAGCGAGCTTTAGCTGGGTTTCAGACCGAAAAACAGCCCTGTGTTAGTAAGTGGGGGCTGCATTGGTGGGGGCATGTTTACCAGTGAGACAATGAAAAAAAAAGATCCAGTAAGTCCAGTTTGAACAATAGATTAATGCGTTTAAAGGCTTATCAGACAAACACACTGCACAACGGTTTGTAATACACACAGAGAGGATTTTACAACACTGGAAAGGTTATCACAACTGCAACCTTTTTTTTTTTTTTTTCACATCTTGTTGTGATGATCGCGAGGTAACATGCATGTGATTGGCACACACACTGCATCATTCAGAGCTACCTGTCGGTCTACAGACAGGCTCAGAGGTGCTAGAAGGTAGGTTCTGTTAACGTTGGTCAGAGCCAGGCGAGCTGTTTCCCTGTTTCCAGTCTTTATGCTAAGCTAAGCTAACCTGGTTGTAGGTCTTAGCTTCATGTTTAATTGACAGACATGAGATATATAGTGGCTAAAATCACTCCAGTAGACTGAGATAATAAACCAAGCTTGAAAGAATTTCTAACAGCTCAGGCGCCCCAAATAAACTCATATGTGTTTTGTTGGTTCACCTGTGTATGTCCCACAGATTTAAGGCCTCTTCCTGCCATGTGAACTAGTGATTAACAAATTCCTTCCTCAGCCATTAAAAAAACTTATCTAAGGCTGATTTCCAGACAGTTGGAGTTGGTATCATTATCAATCGCAAAACAGAGAAAATGTTAACTCATAAACATCACCAGTACAGTGCGATATGTTGACCTCACTCTGGATCTGTGGAGCATGATTGTTAAGTTATCTTCATGCAGTAGCTTATGACGCTCTATTAATATGTTATCTCCTTTAAAGGTGTTATTATCTGATCACATTAACCCGCAGCGAACAGGCACGTACAGGGCCAGAGAGTTCAAAGATGGCCAACTGAAATAAGCTTCCGTAAAAGAGATACAAATCCTCGCCATGTTCCCCGGCATGAATCACATGCTGTTTTTTCCCTGCAACTCTCTCTCCTCTTCTCTAGAAAGCGACTAGCATGACTCTGGGAGGCAGCTTCCTGTTTGTAGAAGAAGGAGAGATTTCCTTAGAGTGGCTGCCCGCTGGACACAGTGTTCTGCCTTTGCACAATCACAGGAACCCAGGGGGCAGCGGAGAGGGCCTTTGCACTCCAAACTTTTGCACATGCAGATACACAAGCAGACACAAACTTAATGGACAAAGCAGAGCATGCTTGCCTTGCCCTAATCCAAACGCTGACAGATCACTCATTCAGTAGGGCATGTATGTGAGTGCAAGATTAACCCTGCTTATGCATACAAAAGAGCAAGTCACTACTACACACACACACACACACACACACACACACACACACACACACACACACACACACACACACACACACACACACGTCTGTTCTCTGCATTACACTCTCTCCTGTTCTAATTTACTGCTGGTGAGGAAATTATGAGTATCCCAGCTGCCCTGGTTCTCCAGGTTTTGAATTTTGGCTGTAGGAACAGCTATTTGCAGACTGCTGATAGTGTTACCATCAAATAAACACTGCATAGATGGCAAGAAGGCAATTACTGTCTGTAGTGCATCTCTGCCAAATGGCCTATTTCTATCAGTCTAACAACTCCCCCCTGTTTTGTCTGCTTACCTGCAAATATTTTCATTTTCAGTTCATCTATCAGTTTTAAATTAGTACATTTCTCATCCAGTCTATAATATGATAAAAAATAATGACTAATGTTCATCAAACGTTATCAGAGCCCAAAGTAAATGTATGTGAAATGTTCCCATTGGCATAATGTGAAATGCATAAAAGGGAAAGCAACTAATTTCATGCCTGAGGGAACAGCCATAAGAGTTTGGGTACTGAAAGTCTAATAAATAACAGCGGTGATGAATTACTACATAAAATGATGAAATGTTATGATAAACCCAAAAATTATCACTATGGCTAATATGATCTTTCTTCAAACAACTTTTTATTAAAATTGTGTCTTTTTTATAATCAATTGAAATTCTATATTAATATGGAAGTAGTTTTTAAATGGGGAAACTATAACAGATTTGGCAAAGCTGCCTCTGCCTATTTAAAGATGACACATTGTGGTTTTCGGCATGTCGGTAGCTTTATCTGGTACCATCCAGTGCTGGGTACACCCGCTGTCCGCCTGAGGTACCAACTCCCATAGATGCATACCGACAACCACAAAATACACATACACACAAAATGCCACACATCATGAGAGCAGACCTCTCATGATGAAAACATCCTCTGACATGTCTCACCCTCCTGTTCACACAAGGCCAGGCTGAAGCCACCGCTCCTTTAGATATCCGGTAACAGAGGGACACTGTGTGTCATCACACGACAGCATAACGGCACCAGTTAACAAGCCTAAACATTGGAGAACACACTCTCATTGTTCGGATTTAAACTCTTTTTCGGAGGGTGGATCCATTCACTTAATAGCTTAGACACTGCAGTGTGTTATAAGTTCAGAGGGAGCGGAGAGACAGACAGATACTTATCCATCACTTACCCACATTAATCTGTTTTATAAGTTTGATGTGTGGTTGAAGCTAGGCATCTAGTGTTTCACAAATGGGGAGGCTCTTACTGGCACTTTATCAGCACAGATGAAAGTGAACCCTGCATATTATTCAGGTTCTCATCTAGCCTCGTCTTTTGCAGACACACTCTGTGCAGCAAACTCTGGCCCCTGGCTACGGACACAGATATACAAATATACTGATAGAATTTGGCATCTGTTATTGGCCGAAAATCTCATCAGTGGAAGCCCAATAATATTTTAATTTGGACTGATGGGAAACTAGTATTTTTGTGATCTTGCAGCTTATGCCACATAATGCACATTTGTGATATTGCACATTTTACAACTCAATTCCCACACAGTAGACATGTCTGAAATCCTTGCTCTCTCTTCTGCAGCAGCGTTACGTCTCTTGCAAACATGCCTACAGGTACAGGTCTGTTGGTAGTGTGGGGAAAATCTCAGATATCCATACTGGCCTCAAAATATTGGTGCATCCATTCCCTCACTGTATGTTTTCCAAAAATAGCCAAACATTAAGACTTTTTGTTTTACTGAAGCCAGGTTTGAAAAAAAGTGACTGACCCAACTGAGGAAGAGTGAATGAGGAAAAAAAATGCACCATCATTGTGCTCATCCCTGGTGTTTACTTCCCATGAAGACAGTGATAACACTGCGTAGATGGCTGATTCAGTGTTTTGAGGACATCTGGTTGGGTTCAGACAGTGTGGACGCTAGCACACATCAAGGAAAAGCATCCACCCCATCCTGTTTTTATTTATATCTGCACTATCATATGCCTGGTTGTCAGCCATTAAAATCTAATTATCCATTCATGAAAGAGTCTTTCAGACTTTCTATATTAGTTCATGTGAGGGGTTTTATTTTTTACATTTAATTGCCATAACTGCCAGAAAACAAATTCAGGGCACATAGTGAACCGTTATAGGTTAAATTATGTCAACAAGCCTTGGAAGTCAGGTCAGAGAGAGCAAGAGTAAGTGTGTTTGCTGGTTTAGAGATGAGCTTCAGTAAACAACGCTGACTGCGATACTTGCCTGCCGACTGTTTGATTGGCGAGCTGTTTCATCCGATTGAACTGCTTCTTCATTTTCGGTCCCTTGCCAGTCTATCCTTCCGAAGTTACGCTTCAAAGCCGGGCTTTGGTTTGTCATGAAGTTCACAGGGCCTCTCCCCTGTTTGAATTCCCCCCAAGCTGTCGCTATGACAGGGAAAAACAAGCGAGAGCCATTGAGCTCAAAGCCAATTAAAAATAGTTTGTAGCCTCGCTAGCCCCTAAGCTAGCCTTTCCCAAGTGGAAATTCTAGAGAAAAGTTCCCTTTGGGGGCGACGGCATGATCCGCGAACCTCCTTTTTTGTTTATATCCGTACATTAAAGTCCCGAAGTAAGCCGTGACTAACTTTCACTGGCTCCATCGGCTTTTCATGGCTCTTCCCTCGGTTGCTGTCTTGACCGTTAGCCGGGCGAGCTAACGTTACCGAGCTGGATAATCCGTCGGCCGCTTTTTCCCAGAGCGGAGCAGAGTGAGCAGCAGCAGCAGCAGCAGCAGCAGCTCCTCACCTCCGCCACTGCCAGCACACACACACACACACACACAGAGAGAGAGAGAGAGGGAGAGCGGCAGGAAGTAACGTTAGAGCACCGCAGCATCTGCCACACAGCACCACCTCCTCCTCCTGGACACCGGCAGGAGAAACTCACTCACACACTGCACCGATGTACGGATGGAAAGAATCCTTTACTGGCTACTCTGAAATAAAAATAAAAAAGTCGCTATAATGAAAAATGCTGACCTCAACTTTAGAGGCATGCATTCATAATGTGTTTTTACCTGTATTTGCATTGTTCACACAGAATACTGGTTAGAGAATATATTTTATTCAAGTTTATTTAAACAAGTGGTACTGTGCTCCAGATGGATTCAACTCGAACAAAGTTGCATACTTGGTATGATTTTTTTTCTCAAAATTATACTTAGTCCCCCTCCACTTAAAATATTGTTTCATGTAGTTCATGTTTGAGCTTCACTGTGCAGGATGATGTATGTACAGAGTTTGACACTAGAAGGATGTTTTCACACATCACAGTCTGATTTTAAGGGGCGGATAAGTGACATAGTTTGGAAGTCATGCTGGTCCAGTATGCAACCTATACAGAGTGATATAGAGACTTGAAGTCACCAGAGCACATACACTATGAATGGACTTTACAGTGAAGAAGGAGACATCTTGAGGTAGAAGGAGAAAATGCCTTTTTTTTATGGATTTAAGGACAAAACATTAAATTATTGTTCCAAGCAGACTATTTGTATTATGGCTCATGTCTAGACTGAATTTTTAAGTAAAGGGGTTCACAATATATCTGCCAGTGTATTATATCAAGCAACAGTTGCTAAAAATGATGGTACTGGCTTGCACTCTAAAATCAACTCATGACTGTGCAATATTATGAGCCATTAGCTCCGAGTTTTTAATATGTATTTTTATCATAATATTCTATATTTGTTTAAATATGACAATTACCAATGAATTTTGAATGAATTTTCACTTACATTTCTACACACATTTGTTGGTGCAGTAGTGTCAGCATATTACAAAAAAGCTTTCAGAGATCCACCTGTGAAAAAGATTCAATGGGAAAATAATTTGAGTTAATCACATTGAGTGGTTGCACATGGGATTTTATAAAGGCATACGGTGTTGTTATTATGAAAACGATCAAATGTGTTTAAATCACACAAATTACAAAAAGGCAATGGTGCTATATCTAAGAGCACATACAGTAAAAATGGGCCACATGTGAGCCTCCCACATGTCTCTCCTTTCCAATTCTTCCAATTAGTGTGTTGTGTTTTGCGGACACCTTGATTTACCCAGATTTCCGTTCTTGTGGTTTTCTCCCCTGTGTGGCTTCTCAAATGGATTTTTAATAAAGCTGCTGAAGTTTCTCCCATAAGTAGGACAAGTCTTTTTCTCTTTCATGTGACTTTCTACATGCTGTGTCAGGTTCTCTGGGGAATTCAGACAACACACTCCTCAGAGCCATAAATGAATTCTTGATTATCTGAGAGACGAGGCGTCCTCACTGAGGTTGGCTTTGTAACCACTGGATTTCTCACACAGTTTGGAAGGAAATGTGTCTGAGAGGCTTTAGATTCCATATTTCACAGGGGACTTGATGTCCTGTCATTGTTCTCCACCTTTTTCATGTTTCCCCACCTCTTTAAATCTCCCCAAAGCGCGAGCCCACATCAGTTTTCACTTTTATCATCCTTGCTGTCTTCACTGTCATCTCCAGAGATAATAATGGTTGGCTGGTTGTGGTGCCTCTTATTCTGGTGTCTCAACACTGCTTCTTTAGATGGTTTTATAGATTTCTGACTGTTCAGCAGAACATTTTCCATTTTCTGAATTTGGTTAAGTTACCTACTACCAAAGACAACAAGGGGGGCAAATAATCATTAATGGTTTAAATGTAAAAGCAAAGTAATCCTAAGCAAGACATTCTCAACAAACCACCTACTTTGGCAGGTTTAATGACAATATTTGTCATTTTTAATAGGCTTGAAAAAAATAGACACAAATTTTAGGAAATAAAAACACTGCTAAGCTTTACATTTTAGTACTAGAGTTTATTTTATTTGTGTGCAAAATGTGAACTTTTACAGCGATACTTTTACTCTGAAAAACACTAACCGGAAGTGTCATCTGGTGGGAACTGTCGCTGCAGTTGTTATTAGACAGCAACATATTTTCCTCTCGTTTAATACTGCTCATTTTCATTTAACTCGCAGTTTGTATGCTATACACAGGTACTTGAGCTACCCGACTATGCTCTCGGTTTTATTCTCCCTCCCTCCAGTTTTGTTTAATAACCCCAGCTGTCAAATTGAGCTAGCCAGTTAGCTTGTTGGAGCTAGCCCAGAGTAACGTTAAGCAGGTGGGTGAGACTCTTCAACGCTTACAGCTTAAATGTTGACTACATAACGTTAGGACAAGGATCATTAATGGCAGCTCGGCAACCCTTCACAGACACGGATACTTCCGATGAAGCAGTGAGGGCGACCTGTGACGATGCAACCATATGCAAAAGGTAACTGTGACATGCAGCTAGTTAGCAGAGTCCATCATTTAACGTTACAGTGAAGATGCCTTCAGTAGCATCATGTTGATGGCGTTATTGCAGGTCAAAGGTCATGCTGCACCTACTACATAACGTTATAGCTCCAGATAATCTGTTAGCCGACTTTAAATGGGCTACATGATCTATAATTTAAAGTCCCCCCCCCCCCCCTCCACATAAAAATAAGTTTTTGTCTTTGCTCCTACAGCTGAGATTCACTCACTGTGCAGAATGATGTATGTGTAGAGTTTAACCCTAGAAGGTTGATTTCACATTGCCTACAGGCATGTTTTGTGTTATAACAAACAACCTGGAAGTCAACCCTGGTCCACTTGCAAAGTACACAAGTGTGATGTAGAAATGTGAAGCCCGTAGTGCACAAACACTGAGAATGGATTTTATAGTGAAGTAGGAGAGAGCTTGTGTCTAACAGGAAAACTTTAGAAATGAATGCCCTTTTAAGGATTTTAATATAATAATAATAATAATAATAATAATAATAATAATAATATTGATTTTTTTTGTGGGGAAAAAACAGTATATGTCTGAGGGGGATTTCTAACTTTAACAAATCAGTGTACTTACATGCACAGAGCAACATGGCTATGCCACAGTAGTCCTGAAAAATATTGATTAATAATTGCATTTTTTTTCCTTTTGTCCACTAGCTAGCCAGATGTTTGCTCTCAACAGTTTCACAATAGGCAGGCAGTGTACACCTTTTCCCCCCATGGTTTATTATGGGGAAGTTTGTTTGGATGTTTTGTATGGATCAGCAAAACCAAAAATGAAGCAGAGAATTGCAAACATCTCTAGAGATGGGTCTTTATTCTCAGTGCAATAAGCAGTACGAGCAACCTTTTCGCATTTCAGGGCCATTTAATTCAATAATATAAAAGATGTTGGTTCATTGTTGTTATTTGTCTAACACTTCCTCATTATATTTATAATTGGTATACTAGGTTTGCTACCAGTAAAAACTACTGGAAGGACCCCTACATCCAGTATTTCGCAAGATCTGTAGGGGAGCGGAAGGCACCTGAAATCAATAGAGGTACGTGATACAGTCTCTTCTTTTACACACACTTTTGCTTTATTCAGAAGTACCTCTTTCTTTAGCTCAGTCAGAGGAAATATGTGGTACAATTCATAATATTAATCAGCAGCATTACAAGTCACTGCGTCAACACTAGTGTAGAGTGTGTGTATGTTTCATTCGCTTATTTTACTGACCACTTGTCTCATCTGGCAGGTTACTATGCCCGTGTTAAAGGAGTTAACCATCTCCTTGATGCATTTATAAGGAAAACCGAGTGTGACTGTCAAATAATCAACGTGGGTGCCGGACTGGATACCACGTTTTGGAGACTAAAGGTTTGGGATATTACATCTCACTGTCAGCACTCCTGGCTAAATGTGATGCACAGTCTGATGTGGCTTTTGTTCCTGTCGGATTTCTGTATCACACTAAACACATTTACACCTAACTATCTTCAAAGCTTCAGAGTTACCGACATTTATTGTTTGTGTGTGTTCGTTATAGGATGAAAACCTCCTGCCACAGAAGTTCTTTGAAGTTGACTTTCCAACAGTTGTGGCCAGGAAAATACACAATATTAAGTAAGACAACCATGCTGTTATTGTTGCTTATCATCAGTGCATCCCTTCTGTGGCTTTGGTGTTGCAATGTGGGGTTGAGATCTGCAGGGGGAGACAGAGCTCTTTGTTTACAGAAGTAGAGCTCTCTATTTTTTCTGTAAGTTATCATTGCATGTATGTAAGGATGTCTAATAGTAACTACTGGCTCTTTATGGTACAGTCAGAAATATCTTGTACACTGCGGTAAGTCAACAATTACTACCATGGAACCTAAGCTAGAAATAAAATGTAATAAAATCTTCCTATAAGCTATTGATAATAGCATAAAACTTGAATTATCACACATATACAGTGTTGAATTGTATTCTGTTATGATAAGAGGTGTTTCTAATTTATAGTCTCACAGATATAAAGGTGAATAAAATATTAGGAACAACTTATGTTACTGTCCAATACAGTATGACCATAAAGTTGAATTAAAGCCTTCAACAACATTTTCAACAGAAACTGAACATCATAACCTTAATGCAGTTGTATTAGACTGCATGAGTTTTAAGCTAGGTATATCTAATAAACTGAGTATATGTATAGATTATATGTACTAGTAACTGAGTATATGTAAACTATATATCTGATGCTTTTGATGCAGGGACCTATAAATGAATAGTGCATCATGTAAAATGCCTGGTTGTAGCGTATCTTTGGGTTTATCATCGGTTGAATGAATGGTAATGGTGTTTTTTCTTCTCTTTTATTTGACTAGGACGAAACCGCCACTGTCCAAACCCCTCATTGAAACCCACTCAACAGATTCCTTACTACTAGGTAATGGGCAAAAGTTACAATCAGTATGTGACACATCTAAG